AACTGGTGAGGGGTGCTTATGCAGGGGCTGCTAAGATAGTGATTATATCCTGGGCCCTTGGAGGGGTGGTGGCCCTCTGCCTCTGTCTCCCTGGGCAGACGTTTTGGCCCATAGCCCGGGCCGGGGGCCAATATCTGTCTGGAGATTGAGCCGGACAGCCCCTCAACCACCATCTGGCCGTCAGTTGTGGGCAGGAGGCCCAACAACTCCTCAGCCTGCCAGCTCACTGTGGGGGTCTCAGCTCAGCCAGGCCCCCAGCTGGGGCTGCAGGGGAGGCCTGGTCTATTGTAGCAGGATTGGGGGCAGCCCGCTCCACCCTGCAGAAAAACACCCTAGGGCAGGGGCTGGGAGGCCCAACTCCACTGTTAACTTGTTGTTTGGCCTCAGGCAGGTCCTCTCCCACTCTGAACCTCAGTTTCCAAGTCTGGGAAGGAGGTGAGGATCTTCTGTAAAGGCCCCTGCTTGCTGGCTGCAGATGGAAAACCAGACCCAAAGAGTGTCTCCCCCCATCCCATGGTTGGATCAATGAGCCCAGTCACAGGCATCTTGTGCCATCTCGTGGACAAAGTGGGAACTGCAGGCAGTCCCAAAGCTGCAGCTGTGTCAGGCCCTGCAGGGCGGCTGGGCCACCCGGGAAAAACCACCACCTCTTGGGAAGCTAGGCAGTAACCAAACAATCACAATGTGAAGAGGCAGGGCCAGTGGGAGATGCTCCCCTGATTGCTTCTAATGGAGGAAATCAAGGGAGGCTTCATGAAGGAAGCACTATCCAGGCAAAGAACGACACAGCACAGAAGAAATGGAGAGGACTGAACGCAGCAAAACAGAAGTAGGTAACGCATGTAGAGGAGTACAATGCCATGTGCCAGTGGGAGCTGTGAGCCCTTGGCCACATACATGTGTGATGTGCGTGTTCACGCATCAGGTGCCACCAGCTGGCTACGTGGAGGGTCGCAGCCCAGCCTCTCCCAGCTAGAATTCTGGGGTGGGCATGCCTGGAAGGAATGGATCCCTAGTCCCTCCCCGACCAACCTCATTTTGGAACAGAGATATTGGTTTCTTTTTTTGTTTTGTTTTGTTTTGTTTTTTGAGGAAGATTAGCCCTGAGCTAACTGCTGCCAATCTTCCTCTTTTTGCTGAGGAAGACTGGCCCTGAGCTAACATCTGTGCCCATCTTCCTCTACTTTATATGTGGGATGCCTACCACAGCATGGCTTGCCATGCTGTGCCATGTCCGCACCCTGGATTCGAACCAGCAAACCCTGGGCCACTGAAGCGGAACGTGCAAACTTAACTGCTGCACCCCCGGGCCTGCCCCTGGAACAGAGACATTGAGACAATCCCATGGGGCTCCCTCCCTGTGGACCCCTTCTTTAAGGCACCAGTAACCTCCCTCATATACCCTCTTTGTAGCTGGCCCAGCCATCCTCCCATTTTGTTCACAGAGGGCTTAACTCTTAGGATGTCTCTCTTCTCCTCCCCCAAATCCATTAGCATCCCACATCCCCTGGGTGCCCCCCCCCCCCCACCTCTCAGGTCCTTGTCATCCTCTCCACCAATCATGTTCTCCTCCCTCCACCTCAGTTCCCATCCTCCAAGTCGCCACCAAGAAGGACATGACCACTGCCTACACTCAGTATCCCCACTGCCACAATTCTTCCCTCATGGCCTTGAGCCCCCAGAGACCTGTGGCCACTCACCTTCCACCACTCTGCCCCTGAGTGTTGCATTAACTCTTTTCCAGTTTCACTGGATTGTTCCCATAGGCATTCAGGCCATTTTCTGATCCCCCTCCTTAAATGACCTTCCCTGGACTCCACATCTCCTCTTAGCTCCAGTCCATTTCTCTGTTCCCTGACAGTTTGTAAAATGTCACCAGTACTGGGGGCCGGCCCGGTGGCACAGGGGTTAAGTTTGCACATTCCGCTTCAGCGGCCTGGGGTTCGCTAGTTCGGATCCCAGGTGTGGACCTACGCACTGCTTGTCAAGCCATGCTGTGGTAGGCATCCCACATATAAAGTAGAGGAAGATGGGCACAGATGTTAGCTCAGGGCCAGTCTTTCTCAGAAAAGAGAGGAGGATTGGCAGCGGGTGTTAGCTCAGGGTTAATCTTCCTCAAAAAAAAAAGCAAAAAACAAAAAAAGATATTTAAAAAAAAAAAAAGTCACCAGTATTGTCCACACTCGCCATCTCCCCTTTACCTCGCCTCACTCCTTTGGCCCTCTCCAGCCGGGCTCCCATCCCACCACGCCAGTGAAACTCTCCTGTCCAGGTGGCCAAGCTCTTGGGGGCTTCCAAGTTTCCTAAGCCCAGGGCCATCAGCGGTCTTGAATGCCTCATTCCTTTCCTCCTGGTTCCCAGGGCCCCTCACTCAGCCAGGGTCTCCCCCACCCCACTGGCCACGTCTCCTCCCCTGGACTGCTCAGGTGGGGTGCCTGGTGCCTAGTCCTGGGCTACCTCTCTCTACACATCTTCACTCTGGAGGCCTCATCCAGGATCAGAGCTGGGGAAGCACTTCTTACTCTGACCACACCTGAATTTATAGCTCTCCTTGTGCCCTCTGACTCAGTCCCAGCCTCGCTTTGACATCCCCACCATCCTGTCCCAGAGGATGGGACATGGACAAAGGACTCACCATCTTTCCCGTGATTGTCTCTCCAGAAATGCATAACCTGAATCTAGTCCTGAGGAAACACCAAATAAACTCAAATTGCGAGATTCTACAAAATAACTGGCTTGTACTCTTCAAAAGTGTCGGGTCATTAAAGCTGAGGAAAGACTGAGAAACTGCCACAGATTGGAGGAATGTAAGGGGACAGGATGACAAGATGCAATGTGTAATTCTGGCTGGGTCCCAGTCCAGGAAGAGGACTTTAACAGAGCAATTGACTTTTTCTTTGCTGAGGAAGATTGGCCCTGTGCTAACATCTGTGCCCATCTTCCTCTATTTTAGATGTGGGACACCGCCACAGCATGGCCTGATAAGTGGTGCTAGGTCTGCACCCAGGATCCAAACCAGTGAACCCTGGGCCATGGAAGCAGAGTGTGCAAAGTTAACCGCTATGCAAACTGGCTGGTCCCCACAACTGACAAATCTGAGTGAGGTCAGCAGATGAGTTACCTCTGGTATGTCAGTGTTAATTTCCCGGGTTTGAACATTGGCCTGTAGCCATTTAAGATGTTAAAATTTGGGGAAGCTGGGTAAAGTGTAAATGGGAGTTTTTTGAACTATTTTTGCTAGTCTGCAGTTTCAAAATGAAAAGTTAAAAATTGCAAAAAAAAAAAAATCTAAAGGTAAAAAGGAACCTCCATTTCCTGATATCCCACCAAGAACCTGTGCCTCTCCCAGGCTTCCGTATCTCAGTAAATGGCAGTCTCATCCTTGAAAGGAAAGGTCATCCTTGACTCCCCACCTTCTCACATCTCACATCCAAGGCATCAGTGAATTGTCGATTCTAGTCCCAAAACATACCCTGAACCTGTGCAATCTTCTCGCCCCACTGTGCTGAGAGCCACCAGGCCTTCTCGCCCTAAGGCTGCCGGGGCTGGGCGCCTGGCCCAACACTGCCTTTCAGCTCCTGAGATGCTCCAGTCTTCCCCCATGCCCTCCCATGACTGGTTCCCTGTGGTTCTTCAGGCCTCGGCTCAGTACCACTTCCTCCAGGAAGCCTTCCAGGACCACTCTAGCTCATGGCCACCACACCTCCACTGCACTAGTTTCCTCACTGCACACATCTCCCTCCTTGTCTTTCTGAGTTGACTGTAAATCCCACAAAATTAGGGACCAGGCCTCCCTCTGAAGGATCCCAGCATCCAGTCTGTGTGGGGCACATGGTAGGTGTGTGCCCTAGCTGGCGGTGCCACCCACTGTGGCCCTGCCTCCTCGCCTGAGATGTCATAATTCCTGAGTGTATGTGTAGATCCTTGAATTCTCCGCTCCCAAGGGCAGGGCTGAGGGGATCCATCTCCTCTCCCCCCAGGTATCTCCAGGGACCAGGCAGCTCCTGCTGGCTCCAGCCTCCACTGGAGGCATCTCCAGAATTCTAAGACCATCTCCGGAATGCTGGGCTTGTCTGGGGAATGCCAAGGCTAGGGCACAGGTGGGGAGGCTGTGGAGTGGCTGGGTGGAGCGAGGACAGCTGCTGACACTCTGTGGCAGCTGTCCAACTCCACTTCCTTGCAGCACCCTCTCCCCAAGGCCAGTGTCACAGTCCTGGCTGCAGCTCTGGCCTGGGCACCCCAAGTAAGCTGAGAGCCACCGGGCCTCGTGCCTCCATTCTTTGTGAGGGAGGCAGAGGGGGTTCCTCGAGCCTCTAGGGTTCACAGTAACTGCAAATTACTCCCGTCTGGACCTGGTCCATCAGACAGAGCCCTTGGCTGGGAGCCAGTGGCTCGGCTCTCCTCCAGACTCACCAGATGACCGTGACAGGCCCCTGCCCCTCTCTGAGCCCCAGGGTCCTCACTGGTCAAATAGGTGAGGGGAGAACAGTAGACAACATGCCCCGCGGTCAGTGGGAGTCAATGTTGGCAGCAGGAAATTCAAGTCAGTGAGCAGATGGACTAGAGCCACAGGCCCTGACGGTGCCCGGCTTCTCCCCAGCCAGAGCTGACAAGGAACAGGGGCTGCTGTGCCAAGTGGCACCCAGGGCCTAGCCAGGCACTGCAGCTGCTGCTCTCCATGGGCAGGACCCCTTGGCTGCCACCTGGCCAACCAAAGTCATGGCCCCCAGGAACATGTTAAATGCAGATTCCTGGGCTACCACAGACTCCAGATGCTGAATCGCTGGAGATGGGTCCTGGGCATCAGCAGTCACAGAAAAGGAGCCAATGGGGTGTGGAGTGTGGTAGTCTCTGATCTAATGTGAGCCCTCCTGCCGAAGGTGGTGTGCAAGGGTGGCTGGAGCACGGGCTCTGGGATGGGGAAGGAAACGGTCATGAGGGCAGGGTGGTCCCTGGTGAAGAGGCCACAGCCCCTGGGAATGAGAGCCAGATGCCAGGCCTCCAGGGAGCAGGGCTTTATTTGCATTCCCTGGGACAAGGGCTGGGGGAGACAGTCATGGAGGGCCCACTGTCAAGGACACGCCCAGGCTCACATCCTGGGGACCCCGGCCCCCTGCCCCCACCCCAGGGCCCAGCTGAAGTTGGAAGGTGGCATTGGCAGCTGTGGGCAAGGGTCAACGTCTACTCCACCCCCTTCATGAACTCCAGGAACTCTGTGGAGAGAGGAGCAGGCATAGGTCAGAGGTGGAGGCTGGGCAGGGCATGGGCAGCACAAGATCTAGCACACCCATCGCTCACCATCATAGTCGATGCGGCCATCGTTGTTCTTGTCACCATCCTTCATGAGCTCCTCAATGTCGTCCTCCGTGATGGTCTCACCGGTAGCCTGAAGCATTATCTTCAGCTCCTCCAGGTCGATATAGCCATCAGCGTTTCTGGGGTGGGGGGGGGGCGTGGGCAGAGGGAGGATTGAGGGGGGCCTCAGAGCCCACGGTGGGGGCCAGGGGAGGGGAAGAGGCAGCCCCATCCACAACCCTGGAAGGCAGAGCAGGGCCACTAGGAGATGGGGCATCCCGCTCCTTCATTGTACAGAACAGGAGACCGAGGCCTTGAGGTCACAAGACTGTCCCTCTTTCCTCAGCTCTGCTAGGGTCAGGGTCAGAGGTCAAGGGTCACACACTCACTTGTCAAACATGCGAAAGAGGTCAGACAGCTCTTCCTCAGACTTCCCTTTGCTGTCATCCTTCATGCACCGAACCATCATGACCAGGAACTCATCGAAGTCCACTGTGCCGCTGCCTGGAGGTAGGTGGTACAGCCATTAGAGAGGGATGGTCAGGCCGGCACTGCCCTTGACGCTAGACCCTGGTGTTCTCACTGCATCCTCACCCCAACTCCGCGAAGTCAGTGTGGTCATTATGCCCATTTTGTAGATGAGCTGACTAAGGCTCAGAGAGACTAAACAGCTCCTTCAAGGGCACAGAGGAATAAGTGGCAGAACCAGGATTCAGGTTCCCAGCAAGCTGCAGGTGCTATGGGTCTGGGGCCTGGGGGAGTAGAGGGGCTCACCGTCCTCATCCACCTCGTCAATCATCTCCTGCAGCTCCTCAGGTGTGGGGTTCTGGCCCAGCATCCTCATCACCTTGCCCAGCTCCTTGGTGCTGATGCAGCCGTCCTCGGCGCCCAGCACGAAGATGTCAAAGGCTGCCTTGAACTCTGTGTCCAACGGGGGAGGAGGCAGAGTGGCCAGGGCTCAGCAGCCAGGACCCCAAAAAGCCAGATTCCTGGGACCACCTGCCAACCTGCCCAATTCCCTCTAAGGCCTCTGAGATCACAGCGAGAGGGACCCCAGCCCCTGACCTCCAGCCTGGGGTGCTCATGCTCCCCTAGCCCAGCCCTACTGTCCTCCAACATGTGTGTTGGGGCACTCACCATTTTTCTGCTCTTCTGTCAGCTGCTCTACCTAGAGAGGAAAAGAAGTCTCAGGACTCAGACTCAGGCCTTAGTTGCTGTCAAGGAAACCAACCCATTCTACAGGTGGGAAGATGGAAGCCAGGAAGAGGCAAGCCATTTCCAGGTCACAAAACGGAGGCCTCAGTCCTCCCTCCCAGCCCCCAAAGCCCTAAGGTGACCCAGTCGGCCTCACTGAGGCTGGGCACAGGGCCAGGGTGACAGGTGGGCACCCTCTCCAGGGCTAAGGTGACCCTGAATAACAATAGTCAATGACCACTCCATGCCCTTTTGGCCCCCATGCTGAAACCCAAGCTGGGTGGCCTGAGGGACAGCTGTCCCTCAGGTTGGGACAATGAAACCAATGTGGGGGTGGTCAAAGCCACTCACTGTAACCTGACCGGGGTGGCCACTGGGCTATTTTTAACGGGGGACAAAGTTAAACCTGGTGATTGTTCTGGGGATTCTGGCATGCAGGGGGTGGGGCAGTGTTATCTGGCCCCCTGGCCTGCTGGTGCCTCAGGAGCCAAAATTAGTCCCCAGCCCCGCCAGGCCTTGTATGGGCACAGGGTGGAGGGCTCCCACCCCCGCCCCCAGCTCCGTGGACTCCTACAGGATAGGCAGGGGTGCCCCCAGAGCCAGCTGTAGCCCTTCCCTGCCCAGGAGAGGGGGCGCACTCACGGGGCTGAGGGAGGGGTTCCCTTGAGGACAGCTGTCTATGCTAGATGTCCTTGTCTCTGGGGTGGGGGGAGGTCAGGACCCCCCTCTGGGATGAAATAGCACCTGAAGCCCCTCAGTGATCCTAGGAGGCTGTAGGGACTTGGGGTGACCACCCTCTATCTCTCACCCCCTGCTAAGCCACTGAGCCCTGAGCCTGCCAGGCGGGATGGGGGCTGCAGCCCCCCGTTACTGTTCCTTCTTCCCGGCTCTTCCTCATGCCCAGTCTTTCCCTGACTGCCACAGACTTCAAAGCCCCCTCCCCAGCTCAGGACTCCAGCTCTGCAGCTCCTCCTCACAAGCCCGGGCCCACCCTCCACGGCATCCTCAAACAGCCAAGGGGCTGTGAGTGTGTGAGAAGCAGAATGTGAGGGGGAGTTATGAGAGGTGGTGACAGGGAGACAGCAACGGAGACTAAGAGAGACAGCATGGGAGGAACAAAGAGATGGAAAGAGGTTGAGAAAGGCAAAGATCTACAGATCAGAGACACAAATACAGAGAGATGTGGCGCAGACACAGACTACAGGCCCTTGGAGACAGGGGAAAGGCTAAAAGCTGTGAGCTCCTCTCCAGACCCTGAACCCCTCACCCCTTCCACATCCTGGAACACCAGACCCAGCTCCCCCTTGAGGGCCTGGTCCCCACCACATCCCTGGGGTGAGTTTATCCTGCACTGAGTGAGTCCCCAGTGGGCCCACCCACCCCAGCCCTTCCCAGGGCCGTCCCTCACCGCAGCCTTGTAGATGTCATCCATGCTGGCAGTTCACAGGGAAGGCTGCTGGGGTTGCCAGCCGGCCCTGGGCTTAAATAGCCCTGCCCCACTGCATTCCCGGCCCAGCCCACCCCTGCATGCAGTATCCTCCACTCCCTCCCCCAGCCCTGGTGATCTCAGGCTGGCCTGAGTCCCTGTGTCCTCTGCCCAGGGCAGGGAGCAGATGAAGGGCTGCAAAGACCAGGTCTCTTTCTCTCTGTCCCCCAAGGCCCCCAGGGAACTCTCTGGAAAGGTTTCTTGAATGAGTGAGAACATGAGCCCAGGACAGGACAGGAGCTGCAAAGTAGTAGGCCCATCCAATCAGGGAGGTGGGCAATATTACTCCCACTTTCCAGATAAGGAAACCGAGGCTCCTGGAGGGGTGGTGACTTGCTCAAAGTCTGGGTGGCTTGGCAGCCCCTGCCTTAAGTTAAACCTCTCTGGAGTCGGGGGCAGCAGTATGCAAGGAGAGGCTGAGAGTGTAGGGACCTGCCAAAAGAAGCCTCGAATGCCAAGCTGAGTACAGTGCTGTGGTCTGGAGCCCTTCAGCCAGGAGTGCCAGAGGAGCCATGCCCCAGACTTCTCATCTCCCCAGGGAGAGCAGCACTAGCTCCGGGCTTGGGTTAGCTGCACTCAGTCAGTCATCCAACAAACACACTTACAGATGCCCCATCTGTGCCAGACTCTCCCCCTCCAGCTACCACCTCCCTCTTCTAGGTCTGGACCTTGCCCTGGATTAGGGCTCCATTTCTGTGCCTGGGCTTCCCCCATTCCAGCACTGTAGTTCCTGCGTCCAGGGCCAGTCTGTCGCCCCCTCCTCTTGTGCCCATGGCCAGCACATATCCCTTCCTTCCACCTACACCTTTCCCTTCCTACAGGGCCCCCTCTCGATAACCACACGAGCTCACTGCCTTGCATGAGGGCACTGCATGCATTAACCCACTTAATTCTCCAGCAGCCCACGTGACAGGAGATCTCTGAATCTTGGAGAGGTTAAGAAGTGGCCCAGAGTTACTCGCTCTAAGCACAGCTCACATCTTCTCCTTCGACCCTCTCGGACCCTAGAGGGAATGAGCCCAAGAACCAGGTGAGGAGCGATTACTGCCTCCCTTTTCTGGAGAGGGAAACTGAGGCCAGGCGGAGCAGTGACTTCCTTCGGGCAGCCCAGGAGGCGCGGGACCTTCGGAGCGGCAATGCCCAGAGCTGCCCGTTCCCCGTGCCTCAGTTTCTCCCGGCTGCCAGGAGCGCGGCGGCGCCACAGATTGCGCAAACGAAAAGGCCCACACGGCCTGCGCACGCGCGCCGTCAGCGCCTGCTGTCAACCGCGCGCGAGGGGCGGGGCGAGGGCTCGGGAAGGCGGCGGGGCGAGAGGCCGGCGCGGGCGGGGGCGCGGGCGGGGGCGCGGGCGCGGGCGCGGGCGCGGGCGCGGGCGCGGGCCGGGGGGCGGTGGGACGCTGACCCCGCCCCCTGCTGCTGCTAGTCTGCGCCGGGCGGCGGCGGCGGAGCCCGGAACATGGCGGCGGCGGCGGCGCGCAGCTTCGGGCCGGAGCGGGAGGCAGAGCCGGCCAAGGAGGCGCGCGTTGTGGGCTCTGAGCTGGTGGACACGTATACGGTGTGCCGGGGTCGCGGGCGTCGGAGCCGGGGCTGGCGGCTGGAACCGGAGTCCGGGTCTAGGGGTTGGGGAGGGGGTCTGGGCCCCGCGATCGGGAGGAGGGGGCCTGGGATCGGGAAATCTGGGGAAGGGTCTGGGCTCCGTAGTCCGGGAAGAGGGTCCTGGGGTGGGCTCCAGGGAGGGAGCTCGGAGCAGGGGTACGCGTTCAGGAAAGGAGGCTAGGGTTGGAGGCGAGGATCTGGGATAAATGGGGTCTGGAGAGGAGGGATGTCCAGATGAGGCGGAGGTTCCTCTACATCCTCTCTAGGCCTGGAGGGGCGCCAGCCTCGGAGGACGTGACAGGGGGTCCAGGAGGAGGGGGACTAGGGAGGGGTGTCTCTGATGGATAGAATCGCGGGGAAAGGGTCAGAGCCCTGCAAGCCTTGATCTGGGGGCCTGGGGTCGCCGCTGAAATTTGCTCTAGAAGTGAGAGAGGGATCTGGGGCCCCGAGGTCCTGGGGGTCAAGCGGAGACAAGAATGGGGGAGGGGTGGAGCCCGGCCACGGCGGAATTGAGGGGGTGGCTCAGGGCTGAAAGTGCGAGATCCAGGAACCTTAGGGGCTTGGGCTGTGGGGGCCAGTTGGGGCAGCAGCCGCCCACACACACTTCAAGGCTTCGAGGGAGATGGAGGACAGAAAACGGGGGGAGTTCCAGACTGTGATGTAGGAGGAGGCCCTCCTGGTCTGGATGGGGTTGGACGCCAGGCTCTGGGCCTGGTAAACTGCTTGGCAGGGACTGGCCCTGGGGTGGGGGCGTACGGAGCACCTCCCAGCCTCCTGTCCTTTGTTCCCGGAGGCTGGGGAGTAAGTGGGGGGCTTTGGCCCTATGTTCGCTCCTCCCCCTCCGCCCTCATCCTAACTCTCCTCCTGAGGGTCATTCCTCTGGCTTTCTTCTTTCCTGGGCTGGGGGAGGGGGAGAGAAGCTGCTAGACTGGGAAGAGGGGCTGGGGGCGGATCCTGGAGCAACAGGCCGGCCCTGGAGAAATGGCTGCTCCTCAGTGGAGGCTTCAGCTGGGTTATTTTCTCCTCCCCCTTCCCTGCGTGCTGCAGAGAGGGGCGGGATACTAGGACCAGGGTGCCTCCTCCAGATGAGAGTTGAGGTCTCTGACCTGGAGCTGACCGCCGCCGCCCCCCCGTGGGCTGCATTCAGCTGGAGGGTCAGCTCTCAAAAGCTCCTCTCATTCCTCAGGGCTGAGCCCCTTCTCTGAATGGGTGTGGGGGATGTGGCAATCCAGGTCCACGCTACTGTTTTGTCTCCAGGTGTGCTGAGTTGAATATTACTAACACACCTAGCTTTTCCTGAACATTGGCTGCGTGTCAGGCCCAGTACAAAGCATTTTGTGTGCATTACCCTATTTGATTTTGAAACTACCAGATTTTAAGATGGAAGAACTGAGGCTCCCAGTCATAAGCCACAGCCAGGAAATGGCAGGACCAGGTTTTAAACCCAGGTCTTCCTTGACTCCAAGACCCATTCCCTTAAGTGCCGAGCCACATTGTCTTCTTTTGGGGCTTGCTTGTCCATCACTGCCTTTCCCCCACCCTCCCATCAGCTTGTTAGTACCTTAACTCCTGGCTCAACAGCAGAATTGATAGCCACAAACCAGCTTAAAGGTTTGGGAAAGGACTTGCTTCCAGGATATTGTCAGGGCCGGTGGGGGGCGGGGGGGAGGGGAGGGAGAATACAGCAGAGAAGCTGGTCCTGCCAGACCTGGCCCTCTTCTGCCTCCTTTGGAAGGAGTGGCCTTGCCTGCAGCTCAGGTTGGATTGGGCTTTGAGTTGCCTGGAGGCTGGAGGTAAAAAACTAGAGATGGCATACTATGATAGTCACCTTTTCCTCCTCGAAGTGGGATAAAGCCACAGACTTATCCCATGTGCCTGCCAGATCCAGTGCTAGGGCCGTGGAGGTTGCTGAGCCGGGGCCTGCTCCTCAGCCGGTGTCAGGTGCAGCGGCTGGGGGACAAGGGCAGCCCAACTTAGTCCTGCAACAAGGGCCGGGGCTCTCCTTGTTGCTCAGTGGGCAAGGGCTGTCGGTTTTCCCTTTTAGGTTTACATCATCCAGGTCACGGATGGCAGCCATGAGTGGACGGTCAAGCACCGCTACAGTGATTTCCATGACCTGCATGAAAAGGTAACCCTTGAGAGCCGGGGACCCTTGTCTCGGGGCTTGGTAGCTTTTAGGTCAGGGTCCCATTGTGCCACACACTAGTTTTAGAGCAATGCCTCGTGTTCTTTAAGAAACCAGTTTATTAATGTAATTGGCAAAAAAAACCGGTGGATCCTGGGAGTTCACCCCTAGCATGAGATGATGTGCGAGGAGCATTTTTGAACTTCAGTTTTAAGATTGCCAGTCCCAGCTCCGGTGGGAGATGCTGGGACAGTTTCCTAGAGAGGGAACAGGTTTGAACTTGTTCCACCTGACTATTCCAGAGCCTCTACTTGAATATCTGGCTGGGATTCCGTTTCTTTCTTAGCTTGTGCAGAGAGTTCCCTTTCTCTGGGTCATTTGCAGCATGAAGTTTTAAAGACAGGCCACCACCCTGATTGGTTTTCATTCTGATTTGGAAAGGATGCTGATTTTAGGGTCCTGGAGGTATTACTTATCTGAATGTCTGCAAAGTCTGCAGATGGAATTGTATTGGTATTTCTAATACTAATTGCACTTGATGAGACCAAATCCCAGGTGCACTAGTTTGAGCCCTAATCCTGGTTTCTTCTGCCAGGAGGGCCGATGGAAGTTGGGACAAGCGCCTGCCCTTGGGCTCCTTGTCTTGTCTTGCGCACTCATGGAACTCTTGATTGACAAGCTTATGTTTTCTTATAGCTCGTGGCAGAGAGAAAGATTGATAAGAATCTCCTTCCGCCCAAAAAGATAATTGGGAAAAACTCAAGAAGCTTGGTGGAGAAGCGGGAGAAGGATCTGGAGGTCTACCTGCAGACGCTCCTGGCCGCCTTCCCGGGCGTGGCCCCCAGGGTGCTGGCCCACTTCTTGCATTTTCACTACTATGTAAGTTCCTCTTGGGTTTTCTCCTTTTCCTGCAGGCCCTCAACTGCCAAAACTCGAGGCAGCAAACCACTGTAGACCTCATCTTTGAGGAGAGGTGGGATGGAGTTTGACCCTGAGGTTAGAAAATGGAGGAACATCACCCTGGTAGGGATGGAGTGTGGGCAGAAGCATGTTCGTTGACAGATCTGTGTTACATTAGACTAACTGTGGCCACAGAGAGGTTTCCTCCACCACAAGGCATTTTGTTTAGCAAAAACATCCTGTAGGTGTTGAAGCCAGGTTTCTATCCAAATAGATGGGGATAGAATAGAAACGTCTGACACCTGGCATAGACTAGGATTGAGTTGTTGGTTCACAATTCAAGACTAATTAAGGGATCAGGCTGTGTTGGCAGAATATTGCCATTCGGAGCATCCTCAGGGTCCTAGTGCTGAGACTGAGGGTAGCTCCCTTCCTCCGCTGGGAGTGGATGTCATGGAGCAGGTCTGCACTTCCTTCTGGGTGGAGGAACAGCTTTCATGGGCTGCTGGTGACGGAATGAGTTGTCATACTTGAAGGAGGGAAGTTTGGCAGTGTGAAACCAAAACAGTAAAAACAGCTAACAGTTCCACTTCGGCAAATTTATTCTAAGGAAATAATAAGGCAACTGTGGAAAGGATTTAGGTACAAAGGTGGTCCTTCCAGGGTTGTAACCAGATACTGAAGACAATCAAAAGTGCGACAGGAGGGGATGTTGGTAAAAAAATCAAAGGGTACAACTATATAATTGGATATTAGGCTGCTGGAAAAATGGTGGTGTGGCAGTGGATTTATTGACATAGAACAATAAGTCCATTGCTATATGAAAAGAGCAGGCCATAAAACAGTATGCAGAGTATGGTCCTGTTTTTATTTTTAAAAAGCTTATTTGAATATACTTATCTAGAAGATTATACATCAAAATACTAGGAGTAGTTGTCTCTGGGTGATAGATATTTGGATAGTTTCCATTTAATTGTTTTCCCTTTATGTGATGAAGATGGGAAAGAATCCACTGCCTTTTCAGGCTCTCCTTTTAGGAAGAGACCTGTGGGTTGTGGTCGTAAAGGCCCAAACATATTTAAAACACAACTTTCCTGAAGTATTTTCAGAGTAAGACTTTCAGAGAAAGCTGACCCTTTCTTGGAGCGCTAGTTAGAGCCTGGAAATTAGGTGATAGTGCTAGCGTTGGGCCACCGAGCTTGGAGGGGCCATGTGGGAAAAACGGTGGCATTGACACGTGGCAGATGTGTACATGCTTTGAATTTTAGTTAGCACATACCAGCAATGTATGTGGTTGGCAGCTGTTTCCTGTTGTAGACTTTTTTTTATATTTTCTTTCCTTATGTGAAAAGAAACTTCCATTCCTTATGGGAGTCTTTCTGATAAACTTTACTGGCTAGTATTTTAAGAAACAGTGCACTTTAAGAAAGCTTTGATTAGTTATTTAAGGATAAAACTTAATACGCAGCCCATTGAAAGTACAATTCATTGCCTAAGACCTGGACCTTTGAGAAGGTCATCTCGCTGCCTGCGTCAGGTTTGCCCACCTCTGGGCGTGGAAAGGCCTGGACTGCTGTCTGGGTGTAGGTTTGCCCGGGATGGGCCTGGGGCCAGCCCACGTCTGTGGTTCTGGTTTGAGGCGTGCTCTACTGCTTGGAGCAGTATGGACAGAGTTGAAATTACTCTTATCGAACAGGCTCCTGGGTTATATAAATCCAAGGATTTAAAAGTAATTAACTCATCATGAAATTAAGTGAGGGTTTCTCTTCCAGGGCACTATTGACATTTTGGGTTGGGTGCTTGTTGTGGGGACTGTCCTGTGCATTGTTGAGCAGCATCTCTGGCCTCTGCCCACCAGCTGCCAGTAGCACCTCTCCCACCCAGTTATGACAACCAAAAATCTCTCCAGACATTGTCATATATCCCCCTGAGGGGCAAAATTATACCTGATTGAGATACGCTAGATTAGATCTCCAAATGAGTTTGAACAAACAAAGCCTACAAGATTTGTCAGCCTTTTCTATAGACTGGGAGCGCTTAGGGAATGTTTCTTGTAACCTTTGTCCCATCAGTGTCCTCTCTGAAATTGTTCCCAACATGCTCCACCTCTTGTCGGGCTGACATTGGACAGGGGAGACCCAGGGAACCCTATTTGGCTAAGTTGTGGATTGATTTTTTTAAGTTGAGATATAATTCACATATCCTAAAATTCACTCTTTTAAAGTATACAATTCCCTGGTCTCTAGTATATTCACAAAGTTGTGCATCTGTCACCACTATCTAATTACAGAATATTCAGCACCCTAAAAAGGAACCCCGTACCCATTAGCAGTCACTTCCCATCCTCCCCTGCCTGTAGCAGACACTAATGTACTTCCTGTCTCTATGGACTTACCTATTCTGGATATTTCAGATAAAAGGGATCATACAATATTTGGCCTTTTGTGACTGGCTTCTTTTACTTAGCATACTGCCAAGGTCCATTCATAAGCATAGATCAGTACTTGGGTCCTTTTATGACTGATGTTCTGTTGTTTGAATATATCACATTTTGTTTATCCAACATCAGTTGATAGACTTTGGGTTGTTTCCACTTTTTGGCTAATATGAATAACGCTGCTATGAACATTCATATAGACGTTTTTCTGTGGACGTATGTTTTCAGTTCTGTTGAGTATATACTAGGAGTAGAAATGCTAGGTCATAGGGTAACTTTGTTAACTTTTTGAAGAACTGTAGGGGCTGGCCCTGTGGCTGAGTGGTTAAGCTCGCATGCTCTGCTTTGGCGGCCCAAGGTTTCGCAGGTTCGGATCCTGGGTGTGGACCTAGCACTGCTCGTCAGGCCATGCTGAGGCGGTGTCCTACATAGCAGAGCCAGAAGGACCTACACCTAGAATATACAACTACGTACTGGGGGGCTTTGGGGAGAAGAGGAAAAAAAAAGATTGGCCAACAGATGTGGCAACAAAAGAAAAAAAAGAAAGAAGGAAATTATTTTCCTCAGCAGCTGCACCATTTTACATTCCCACTAGCAGTGTATATGTTCTCATCTCCTCACATCTTTGTCAACACTTGTTACTGTCCATTTTTTTGATAGTTGTCCTAGTGGGTGTGAATTAGTATCCCATTGTGGTTTGATTTGCATTTCCCTAATGACTAATGATATTGAGCCTCTCTTTTTTTTTTTTTTTGAGGAAGATTAGCCTTCAGCTAACATCTGCTGCCAATCCTCCTCTTTTTGTGGAGGAAGGCTGGCCCTGAGCTAACATCTGTGCCCATCTTCCTCTGCTTTATATGTGGGAAGCCTGCCACAGCATGGTAGTGCCATGTCCACACCCAGGATCCAAACCGGTGAACCCCAGGCTGCTGAAGCAGAATGTGTGCACTTAACTGCTGCGCCACCAGGCCAGCCTCTCGAGCCTCTTTCCGTATGTTTATTGGTCTTTTACATGTCTACTTTGGAAAAGTGTATTCATATCCTTTGCACTTTTAAAAATTAGGTTCTTTTTGTTTTTGGTTGTTGAGTTGTAGGAGTTCTTTATATATTTTGGATATTAGACTCTTATCAGAAATGTGATATGCAAGTATTTTCTCCCATTGTGTAGATTCTTTTCATTTTGTTGATAGTGTCCTTTGAAAGACAAAAGTTTTAGATTTTGATGAAATTCAATTTTTTTCCTTTGGTCATTTATGTTTTTTGGTGTCATATCTAAGAAACCATTGCCTAATCCTAGTCACAAAGATTTACAACTATGTTTTCTTCCAGGACTTTTATAATTTTAGCTCTTCTGTTTAGGTCTTGGTTCACTTGAGTTAATTTTTGTATATGGTATGAGGTAGGGCTCCAACTTCATTCTTCTGCAGTGTGGATTTTAATGGCAATGAAAGAAAGCACTGCTTCTCTCCCCTGCCAGCTCTGAGACCGGGAATCTAGGGGCTGGTGCAGCCCTGGGTTGCTGTGAGAGGGCACTGGCCTGTTGCTGTGCTGTCTCTCTCTAGATAGCTGTGCCCTAAGACTCCTGGACCCTCAGTGACAGACCTCATCCTAGAACCCCGATGGCAGAGGTTTTCAAATTCAGTGCAATGGAATCCCATGGAGAATTCCAGCACACAATTTTGGGGCAGGACGTCTAGCTGTGGACTTGGGAGGCAGGCAGAGCCAAGATTAGCTCCCAGCCCTGCTGCTTCCTGACATTTTATTCCAAGTCAATCATTTAACCTCTCTGTGTCCCAGTTCCTCTTTTGTGACCTGGAGGGTGATGACCCCAGGTGCTTGAGGATTGCAAGAGACTGTGCAGTGAAGGTAAAGGGGCTAGAAGAGCAGTGGGCTCGTGGCAGGGGCTCACCAGGTGCCAGCCAATACCACTGCCCTAGTAAGGAAAGTGCTCAGTTCTCTTCAAAGGTGGCATTTAGATCATTTTCTTATTTTAAAGCTAGTTGGCTAGAACAGAGATACTTTTTAAAATCTGAAATCGTGAGCTGTAATGGAACTGTTACCATTTTAACATTGGCTTCAACATCCATTTTATTTCTGTCATTTGTTTTAGTTGCAAAGGACTGAGGCTGTAAATGATAACAGATTTCTTTGCAACTTACTTACAGTCTTGGAGCCCTCTTCAGTCAAAGTTTAGGCTTGAATCCCTCAATGGGGGATTTTTAAAGTCGAATTGCTCATAATATACCTGACTCCTACTAGAATGCCTCATCACAGATGTGAAATAAAAGTTGAACAGGGACCCCTCCAGCCCTCAACGTGTGTGTGTAAACTGCACAGTGACGTGTATTGGAGTCCCTTGCTAATGCCCCACTGACACGTGCTCTCCTCACGTGTGTGCCAGCAGGAGTGTCGGGCTGCTTGGGGTTCTGCGCTGAGGGCAGGTGGGTGGGTGGTGGGGGCACCTGGTCACGGGCTCTGTGTACGCAGACATGCTCGGTCAGGATGTTGGTCACAGAGCTACAGCCCAAGGCTGCACACCGACACATTTGGGGGTCAGTGTTATAGTGTTTTTTTGTCTTTTTGGTTTTTTTTGAGGAAGATTAGCCCTGAGCTAACTACTGCCAGTCCTCCTCTTTTTTGCTGATGAAGCCTGGCCCTGAGCTAACATCCATGCCCATCTTCCTCTACTTTATATATGGGACACCTACCACAGCATGGCCTGCCAAGTGGTGCCATGTCCACACCCGGGATCTGAACTGGCGAACCCCAGGCCGCTGAGAAGCGGAGTGTGCAAACTTAACCGCTGCACCACTGGGCCGGCCCCAGTGTTATAGTTTTTAAACATAGCTAATAATTTTTATTGAGGCATTAAGAGTATCTTTCTTCAAAAATACCTTTCAATTCAGACATTTGTGGCGCTCTGAAGCACTTCAAGTCCCTGCAGCACAGATTGGGTGGGGCATGTGGGAAGTCCCCTTTCCCCACAGATAGCTCCTGGCAGTATCAGCAGCAGCTTAGACTGGGGGCCACCAAGGCCCCCTGTCTCCTCCTGGCTAAGGGGAGGCCTGACTGCCCACAAGGCTACAGTTTAACCAGAACACTGTCTGGGGATACAGACAAAATGCTTCTCTGACGGGACTAGTGCTCTAGATTTGAGGGCTGAAGCGTTTCTTTGTTCCTCTGTGATTAAGGATTCTCCCAAGGTGAAGATCAGCCTGGGGAACTAAGTAGATAGTGTTGCAGCAGCGCACTTCCTGTGCCCCAAAGAGCAGGGAGAGAAATTGTTACATAGTTTGCATTTTAGATTGCTCAAAAGTGAAGAGGGCTCTGCTTAGCATGAACCCTTGGCCCTCACCATCTCTCAGCTTTCTGTGTTTTCCAGAAGTTCCAGTCCTCTCCCCTTAGCAGGGCTAGTGTTGACTCCAGCTGCCTGAAGAATTGTAACTTTGAGGGTGAGGGTTGTTTGGTACTGATGGTGGGCAGGGTGCCCTGTTCCCATGTGAGGCCAGAAATACTGGGGCCGGAGAGCCCCGGGAGCTACTCTCAGGGAATTGAGGTGGGTGCATACCTATCGGCAGCCCCTGGGGGCTGCTCAGGAATCTGCGTCTTTCGAGGTTCCTCAGGTGATTCTGACTGCGGGGAGGGTGGGGAAGTACCGATTTGGAGACGGGGCTTGGTTCTCAAACCTGTTGGTAGAGGAGTGAGCCTTGGATCCTTCTCAGCTCTTCCTGATCTTCAGTTCTCCGTGGCAGCCGAGGAAAATGTCGTTGAGTTTGCGTTGTTGCAAGAGGCTGAAGTTGAGCTTCCGAGGGAGCTGACGGTCCATCCTCGCTCTGGCTGCAGCCTCAGAGCTGCGCTGCCCCTCTCGGGGCCCTTTTGTACTGGACACTGCATCTTGCCAGACCGAGTCCTTGATGCTGGGGCTGTATTTGCTCATTTTTCTCCTTTGGCTTTTTGTCCATTTGTGGGGGTAGGTGAGTTATTCTCATATTATGTATAAACTGAATTTCAAGCAGATTAAAGAAATCAGCACTTTTTTTAAAAAAAGATAGCATAAAGTACTAAAAGACAAAATTAGGAGAATCTGTTTACCATCTTGGGATGGGGGAAGAGGCCCCAGAAATCATGAAGGAGAATAATCACAGATTAAACAGCAAAGACATGAAAAACCTCCCTCTGTTGGGAAAACCACTGTGGACTGTGCGCAAAGGTGAGGGCACGTGCTTGGGGAGAAGGTGTTTGCAGCACATAAACACCCGTTAGAATATCAATTATGTATAAAAGAGAAGAAAGAGACAAACAACCAGAGAAAAACAGGGAAAGGACACTGTCTCTCCGGCAGCCTGGTGCCATTGGAGTCCCATACCTGTGTGAGTGTCACGTCCTGGTGGCAGAGATGCTCCTGTGAGTTATGAAGGTGATTGTGCAGCCTCCATCTGCACCTGTTTACGAAAAGGCCTGTGGGCTGCCATCTGTCAGTTAGTTAAATATCTTACCTGCAGGATGTGGGGCTGAGGGCCTGGGGGCCTCTGGGGCCCTCCCAGCCCCACGATTGTACCACTTAAGTGCTGAGGCAATTGCTCTGTACACAGAAAGGCTGGCTTCAAGGCCAAGTGCTTGGGAGTGTGGCTCTGCTAGTGTGCAGCCATGTAAAATTGGAGCATTGCAGCAGTTCTGACTTCAGTTTGCTCTTCTGTGAAAAAGGGTGCAAAATAACATCAGAGTTTCGGGAGGATTGAATGAGCCAGTACATAGCAAGAGCTCAGGCCATTGTCCAGCGTGAACTAAGACCCCAGCACATTAGCTGTTAATACAACTGAAGGCTTGTACTCGTCATGCCTCCTTGCTCACATCATTCTTTTTTTTTTCTTTTTTTTTCCTTCTTTTTTTTTCAAAGATGATTAGCCCTGAGTTAACATCTGCTGCCAATCTTCTTCTTTTTGCTGAGGAAGACTGTCCCTGAGCTAACATCCGTGCCCATCTTCTTCTATTTTATGTGGGACGCCTGCCACACCATGGCTTGGCAAGCAGTACATATGTCCGCACGCAGGATCAGAACCGGCGAGCCCCGGCCGCCAAAGTGGAACGTGGGCGCTTAACCGCTGCCCCACCAGGCCAGCCTTTATCACATCATTCTGAAAGGAAATCCCTCCCTGCCCCTTCTCGTGACCCTGGGGCTGAGTGTTACTGTTGCAGGGCTTGCAGGGATGAGCAGGTGGAAGAGAACAAGTGTTCAGTCTCTGCTAAGACACCTTTGGATTATGAAAGAAAGTGGAAATGGCCACTCTTGGGGAGGGTTGGCTCTGGGAGGGGAGGTCCTTTATCCCACCAGGGTGATGGGAGCCTCTTTTCCAGAAGAAACAGGGACCTCCTCTGTTCCATGCCCTCTCCTCGGATCTCCTAGGGCTAGTCGTGGGAGCTCCTGGCTTCCTAGCCCGGTTCACTCTGCCAGTACCCTTGTGGGCTTGTCCTCTGTGCCCACCTCCTGGACCGAGTGCACCCAGCCAGTGCCCATGTGGGCTTAGAGTTGCAGCATTAGTCTGCTTTCCGTTTTTCTTTTGAGAAGACATTTAAAATGTCCATATAACTGGGAATATTTAGTCTCCTTTTCTAAGCACCTTGATTAGTTTTAGGTTTACTCTCTCCCTCATCTTGTTGAACTTTCTGAGAGCTGTCATTGCAGCAGCAGAGGAGGTAGATAGCAGGGATCGTGCACGTCCTGGTGACTGGGGGCAGGTGGACTTTCTGACTAGGGGTTTTGTTTTCCCTGCAGGAGATAAATGGTATCACTGCGGCACTGGCTGAGGAGCTTTTTGAAAAAGGTACGTGGCCAGGGCTCCTGAAACGCGGTGGGCAACTTGGCGCAACCTGTTAGGTGGCCAGAATTCCCGGGTGGCACTGAGCTCCATCTGTTGGGCTGTGCCAAGTAAGTCCCAGCCAGGCCCCACCTCCCTGGGGTTGCCCAAAGTCCTGAACCTGGTCCACAGTCAAATCTGCCCACCTTCTTAAAGGACCCTGCAGGATCTGTTCCACAGCCCTATGGTGGAGTTGTGGGAGGTGGGTGGCAGCTACTCTCTTGGACCTGGTTTGTCCTTACCTGGAAAGGTTCAGATGGCAGACAGAAACCGAACTTGGGTCATGGCCCTGCCAGAGAGCATGTAGCTAACATGTAATGAGTACTTCCTGTGGTCTGGCCTTGTGTGCGGCATCTGACTACTTTCCCCACAAGAGGTGCAGATGAGGACACTGAGGATGAGAGGCCCAGTAACCTGCTTGAGGGTACTTGACTAGAAGGGGCAGAGTCAGGGCCAAATACCTCTTTCTGGCTCAGAACCCCCGCCTGCTCTCAGGCCCTGCGCTGTGCTGGCATCTCAGGCCTACACCTAACCTCAAGGTGTCTGATCTTGGAGGTTGCAGCGTGGGTCTGTTATCCACAGTGCTGGCTCTCATCGGCTTTGTCTTGGTCCAGTGCCTTAGGTTTTGACTGAGCCTTGCCTCAGGGAAGCTCCCTGGCCACACATTCCCAGGACCCTTCCATCCTCCGTAGTCCCGTGTCCAGGGTCTGCCCTGTGCCCATTATGAGCTCAGGAGGGCAGCTGCTTCTGCGTGCTCAGGGCCGTGGCTTTGTCCTGACAAGGCGCAGTGCACGTGAGTGCTTACCAAATGCTTGTTAAACTGTTGGCAGAGTGGGCAGACGCCCTGGCTGCCTGCCTAAGCCGGGGCCGGGTGTTCACCCTGCGGGGCATGGCCATTGCAGGGGAACAGCTCCTGGGGGCCGGCCAGGTCTTCGTCATTGGGCCCCTGCAGCTATATGCGGTCACCGAGCAGCTGCAGCAGGGAAAGCCCACATGCGCCAGTGGGGACGCCAAGACTGACCTTGGGCACATCCTGGACTTCACCTGTCGCCTTAAGTACCTTAAGGTAAAGCTGAAGCCACTCATTTGTGGAGAGGCACTCAGTTGTGGTCACGCAGCCAAAGAACTCATTGGCTGGCAGTGCGTGTGAAGGAGACTGTGTGGGCCGTGGGGGAAAGGCCACCTTTGGTGTTCTTGGCACTGCACTTCTGGCTGTGAGCACCAGGGGGCAGTCGTGACCCAGTGTCCCCTTGCTTGAAGCTCTGCTTCAGCATGCTGCGTTGACCATAGAAGTGGTGAGTGGAGGTCATGCCCAGTCTGCCTCACATTGCCAAGCAAAGCTTCAAGTGCAGGTTGACAGCTGCTGCAGCACTGCCCCATGAACCCCTGTGAATGGGGGTGGTTGCAGCAGCATCCCTAATTCAAACCATATCTGTGGCCTCAGGTTTCTGGCACAGAAGGACCTTTTGGGACCAGCAACATTCAGGAGCAGCTCCTGCCTTTCGATTTGTCTATATTCAAGTCACTTCATCAGGTGGAGGTAAGGCCCAGGGCCCCCGGCGTGCAGGCGAAGCTGGACCCTCCACAGGCATCGTCTTGCTTCTGATTGTCTGTGACTGAGGAGTGGTTTTAATATCGGTGTCTGGACTTAATTGTGAGGCAGTGTTGCTTTCATATTTGACAGTATGTGGCAGAGTCCATCTTGGTAAGTCAGGCCCATCTGAAAGCAGAGAAAGAGGGGCGCCGGCTGCTCTTGGCTGGTGTGTGTGTCTCTGCCCCTCACATGGGCAGCATTTGGACAGAGTGGAGCACCCGAGCCTGGCTCCTCTGGGCCTCCTCATTCGAGGGTCAGGCAGATGAGCAGAGGGCTTTGGGAGTTCTCTACCCTCTGGTGTGCCCCCACCTGACAAGAAGTACTTTGCATTATTCACTATTGAACTGGGTTCACGATGCCAGTTTTGTTACCAATTTGAAAGTCTTTTAAAGCCTCTGTTTCTTGGGTGTGGTTTTTGTGTTCAGCCCTGTGCTGAGCCAGCCATGGTGTGCACTCCTTGACGAAATCTTCCCAACGGCCCTGTGAAGTGGGCGCTTTTGTTCCCACGTTACAGCTGAGTTAACTGAGGCTTAGGGAGGTAAGGAAGTTTGGACAGGATCACATAGTTAATAAGGGGAAAGCTGGGATCTGGATTCAACTGAGTCTGACTCCAGAGCCTCTGTTCCGTATTGGACTATTCAGCCTGCAACGTTCTGGGCTCGTCTCAGAGGCCTTGAGGACCACTTCCCTTGATGGGAACTTGTGGTGTGTGCCTCAGCCGGTGCAGGCCAAGGAAGGACTGGAGGCTAAGAGGAGCACCCCACTCAGCCCCGGCTCGGCTGGCTGAGGCTCTGCTGGCTGGGGTCTGGGGGGGTGGAGCTCGCAGGTGGCTTGAGGGGTCGTGTTTTGGCCTGTACCCTCCCTCCCACTGCAGGAGGGCCGAGGCCAGTGAAGGGCTTGGGGAGCAGGAGGGCCCACCACACTCGCTGTGTTGAGGAGGCCCCTTGCTCCCCATCTCTGGTTTCCATGGCTCATGCTTTCTATCCGCCTGCTAAGCCCCCTAGCAGCTCCTAGAAACAGAGAAAATGGAGTTCATTGTTCATTGTGAGTCTTACTAGATACTTCAGAGAATGTTTAGTTAGTGCTAAAAATTGGGAAAAAGAGAGACTTAGGGTTTGAGTAGCTTCTTGCCTCTAAGGATTCAGCTTTGCTGATGATTGTGCTCCTTTTGTGTATGGGTGACAAACACCCACTTCCTGGGACTTCTGACAGCAACAGTGCTGTTTCTGAGACACAGTTGTTTCTTGTTCCAGATAAGTCACTGTGATGCCAAGCACATCCGGGGGCTGGTCGTGTCAAAGCCCACCTTAGCCACCATGAGCGTCCGCTTCTCAGCAACTTCGATGAAGGTGAGCGCCACCTGTTTCCAGCCTGGGGACTGTCTGCGGGGCAGGGTCCTGTGCAGTAGTCCACCCACCAAGGGTAGGTGTGGACACTGATGTCTGTCAGAAACCAGAGGCTGGACCTTCCTCTGGGCCTGGGCAGCCACATACTCATGAGGGACCTCCTGGCATTTAGCCCCTGGGATGCGTTAGTCGACGTCTTCATCAAAAATCAATGCTATTAGGGGCCAGCCTGGTGGCACTGTGGTTAAGTTCACGTGTGCTCTGCTTCAGCAGCCCGGGGTTCACCAGTTCAGATCCTGGGTGCAGACATGGCACCGCTTGGCAAGCCATGCTGTGGTAGGTGTCCCACATATAAAGTAGAGGAAGATGGGCACAGATGTTAGCTCAGGGCCAGCCTTCCTCAGCAAAAAGAGGAGGATTGGCAGCAGTTAGCTCAGGGCTAATCTTCCTAAAGATAAAAATCAACGCTGTTAAACAAGATATTTTAAGGAACTGGGTCCCCTCCCCACATCCAAAAAAAGTCACCTTTTTTTTGTTTTTTTGTTTTTTGAGGAAGATTAGCCCTGAGCTAACATCTGCCAATCCTCCTCTTTCTGAGGAAGACTGGCCCTGAGCTAACATCCGTGCCCATCTTTCTCTACTTTATATGTGGGATGCCTACCACAGCATGGCTTGCCAAGTGGTGCCATGTCCACACCCAGGCGAACTGGCGAACCCAGGGCCACCGAGAAGCAGAATGTGCCCACTTAACTGCTGTGCCACCGGGCCGGCCGCAAGTCACCGGTTTTTGATGAACAGATTATTAAGCAGTGTCAAGTGACAGGATGTTTATCAGTTAGATGTAAATGTTTCTCTAAGCTAAAAAAGCCCTGGCTTAGCACTCATTTGTGTATTGTTCTCTGGACTTGAAGGAGACAGGTGAGGTTATGGATACAGTGGGCCCTGTTGTTTGTATGTGAGCAACAGAAATACTCGAATTGAGAATGTAAGAGGTTTCTTTTCTATTTAGTTTTTTATGGATTGCATCTTAGTAGTACTGAAATCCTTCAGGCGCAGAAAAAGCATAGAGGCTACTTTTACAACTCACAGTGTCTGATCCAGATTTGAGTTTGGTGAAACTTGAGGTTTACTGGCTGAAAGAAGGAGGCTTGTGTTGAGAGCAAGGGTGTCGGGCAACCTTGTCCTTCTCCGAGGCTCTCCCTGCCGCCTGGCTCAAGGGGCCTGAAATGATGCGTTGAGATAGGAGAGGTCTCGTGGGCATCAAAAGTCAAGGCCAGGAAGCCGGCCTCCCTCACCTTCAGTGGTGTCCCTGCGCTCCATGCTGCTGCCCTTGTCTCTGCATTGTTGGATTTCAGCCCTTTGAAGTAATATTAAAAGGGCCTGCTATCCGCAGTGGGGACCGCAGTGCCAGCTTGGAAAGCACAGTTGCCCGGAAACACTGAATTTTGACCCCTCAGCCTCTGAAATTTTATTTTATTTTATTTTTTATTTTTCCTTTTTCTCCCCAAAGCCCCCCGGTACATAGTTGTATATTTTTAGTTGTGGGTCCTTCTGGTTGTGGCATGTGGGACACCACCTCAGCATGGCTTGATGAGCGGTGCCATGTCTGTGCCTAGGATCCGAACCAGTGAAACCCTGGGTCCCCCGAAGTGGAGTGCGTGAACTTAACCACTCGGCCACGGGGCTGGCTCAGCCTCTGAAATATAAGCCACAAAAGTCGTCATCGGATAGCAAAAGACCCTTGTGGGCGTGAAAAGCATTTACTGCTGAAACAGAGCCAGAACATATTCCAAGCAGCTTTTGTATTGCTAAGCTTTTCAGTTATTTCACAATTGTTGGAACACATATGAACCAAAGTCCCAATTTAATGCAAGTTCACTTCCACATGCTAAATATGCTCAAGCCCTTCCTGAAATTTTGCAATGATTGTGCTCCCAGTGAGTGTTGCGTGAGGGCCCGAATGTGGTGCTCAACAGATGTTCTTACACAGGAAGTCCTTGTTCCTGAAGCCTCGGAATTTGATGAGTGGGAGCCAGAAGGCACAGCCCTGGAAGGCCCTGTGACTGCTGTCATCCCCACATGGCAAGCGCTGACCACTCTAGACCTGAGCCACAACAGCATCTCGGAGATTGATGAGTCTGTGGTATGCTCCCAGCAGTAGGCGCCAGGGGCTTTTCCGGCCTGACCAAACCCTGAGGTTGGGTATTTAACTTGGCTTTTTCTGGAAGGACCACAGAAATCCTGTATCCAGTGGTCTGTGCGTTGCCTGCAGTTTTTAAATTACTTTCAAAATGGGATTATTTAAAATAGGTATGGTAGTACTTAGAACCAAATGAAGCATGTTAATTGGATGTACATTTGATGTAATAGAAATACAATAAGCAATGAAATCTAATCCCAAGGAGTGGAGCAGAAAAATCACTCCACAGATCCCAGATGTGCCCATGTAAGAGTGACATCCAGATGGCATTTGGGCAATAGAAGTGTGATTCCTATGTTTGTGCTTCTCGGTGGGTGTGGGAAGGGTTGAAGAAGGACGGGTGGACTTCCTTCTCTGTCTGGGTCCTTGCCATTTGTCCCTTTCGTAAGCCAAGTGCTCTGTAAAGATAGTGGGACGTGCTCAGCACTGGAGGCCGTGTGTGTTCCTGTGGACGTGCTCGCTGGGGGGCCACCGGGAAGTGGCTCTGCCTGTGGCTCTGCAGGACAGCCGGCCCAGGAGTCCATGGTTAGGAGGGGGAATCCCAGGGTGTCTGTCCACTGCGTACAGGGGCCGCATAGGGTCCAGCCTCCTAGACTAATGTTGGGTGTTGTCTTTTCTTTCACAAGAAACTGATTCCAAAGATTGAGTTCCTTGATCTGAGTCACAATGGAGTGCTGGTCGTGGACAACCTGCAGGTAATTAGTGTCTTTGGAGACCGTCGCCACTTGCGGGCTTCTCACAGGGTCCCTGAAAGTTCAGGAGGCTGACTCACCCCTCAGAGTTTGGCCATCCCCTGGGGTTTTGTCTCACAGACTCACAAAAGGTGTCTGGGTGCACCAGAGGTTTGCAGGGGCAGAGGCTGCTGCCGTCCCTTTAGGGTCCCAACAATGCACTGAGCGATTATTACTCTGGTTCCAAAGGGTTAGAAAAGATGCCTAAGTACAAGTGGAGTGTGATGAAGATGATGCAGCTCCATCGTGAAGATGGCCAGCCTCGTTTTCACAGCTTGCACCTACCCTGAGGGCCACACTGCCTCTGGAGGGGGTGCCACTGGGCTGGGGCGTTTGCAGGGGAGAAGAGGGGCTTCCCTCCCATGTAACGGTCTGAGGGAATGGAGCCGACCTACGGAACTGGTCATTGTAGGTCGGAAGGCCCCTCGCACCATTAGCCTAGGTCCCCTTTCTTTGGAGCCTTGACCTGAACCACTTTACCGTCTTCTTGATGCTGCCGCAGCACCTGTACAACCTCGTGCACCTGGACCTGTCCTACAACAAACTCACCTCTTTGGACGGGGTTCACACCAAACTGGGGAACATCAAGACCCTGAACCTGGCAGGCAACCTCCTGGAGAGTCTGAGTGGTCTGCACAAGCTCTACTCCCTGGTCAACCTGGATCTCAGCAACAACAGAATCGAACAGGTGAGTCATGTCCCAGGAGGATCTCAGGGTTCTGGAATGACTATGCCTTGGTGTTTAACACTTTAAGGAAGAGTGGGAAGCTTCCTTTCATTTAAAAGAGGCCAGCAAACATATTGTCATGTTGCTGAAGTGTTAAAAAACGGACAAGGCGAGTGGAACTCGTGCCTTTGCAGATGGAGGAGGTCAGGAGCATAGGCAGCCTCCCGTGTCTGGAGCACGTGGCTCTGCTGAACAACCCTCTGAGCATCATCCCCGACTACCGGACCAAGGTGCTGGCTCAGTTTGGAGAGAGGGCCTCTGAGGTAAGCTGCCAGGGTTGCCAGGCTCAGCTCCCTCCAAGAGACTGTCCGTATCTTCACAGGCAGAGCCTGCCTACTGCAGAAGAATGTCCCCGCCCTGGAGGCCCTTTCAGTTCTGGGAAGTCTGCAACTTCCCCAGGAAAAGACTCCCTCCTCCTCCCACTGCTGTCCTGTTGGGGCTGCTAGCCGCCATGCTTCCCCCAGGAGGGCTCCCACGAACCAGCAGGCACAGACTGAGTGTAGAGGGACTATCTTGATCTTTCTTTTTTTTTAGGAAGATTAGCCCTGAGCTAACATCTGCCAATCCTCCTCTTTTTGCTGAGGAAGACTGGCCCTGAGCTGGCATCTGTGCCCATCTTCCTCTACTTTATATGTGAGACGCCTGCCACAGCACGGCTTGCAAAGCGGTGCCATGTCTGCACCCAGGATCTGAACTTCCGAACGGGCAAACCCCGGGCCACCAAGAAGTGGAACGTGCGAACTTAACTGCTGTGCCGCCGGGCCAGCCCTGTCTTGATCTTTCTAAAAAGTAGCATTGTTGGGGCCGGCCCGGTTAAGTTCGCACGTTCCGCTTCTCCGTGGCCTGGGATTTGCCGGTTCTGATCCTGGGTGTGGACATGGCACCGCTTCGCAAGCCGTGCTGTGGCAGGCATCCCACATATAAAGTAGAGGCAGATGGGCACAGATGTCAGCTCAGGGCCAGTCTTCCTCAGCAAAAAGAGGAGGATTGGCAAATGTTAGCTCAGGGCTAATCTTCCTTTAAAAAAAAAAAAAAATTACATTGTTTATTATAGGCAAGGGTCAGAAATAAGATATTTAAAACTATCAAGTTTCCTGGACAACTTCTGGCTATAAAATCTGACTAGAAATCTAAAGGATTTGCCCACCTTTGCCAGTCTAGCCCAGCCTAGTATCTGCTGCCTGCGTGTGTCTAGCCACCTGCCACCATGCCAACCAAACAGGTACTGAGCCAGGTTCACCTGTCTCCTCAGCCTTGAGCAGGCATCTCCGCCATCCTCCCCAATCCCAGGACAGAACATACCTGGGGGTCTGTTTGCATCCTTCCCTCGCCTTACCTCACCTCCCCACCAATCTCCTTTGGGCCCCAAGTGCCCCTTTCTCCGTGCTGTCACCAAGACAGTGTTGACAGGACTTCCCCTCCCTGGCCCTAGACCTTGGGAGGCTCCCTCGCCACATGGGGCTGACCCTTGGGACCTTGCCTCATTGGACCACACTGCCACCCTGCACTGCCCACCAGCCCACAGCTCCCTCCTGCATTTGCAGATGGGGGTCCAGGCCTTCCCCTGGCTCTTTGCTGATCTGAGTTCTGCCATAACTGGGGGCTTAGTTCAAGTTACCACCTTCCCCTACTCTCAGCCACCCAGGAGGCCTTCCCAATGGACCCTACACCCCTGCCTCCCCTTCTTGGAGAGGACTCCCAGAGGTGGACCAGGCAGCATGGGACCTACCTGGGCTGCTGCGAGGAGCTTGCCCGTCACTTCGTGGGTCTGAGGAGCTCACCTCCCAGCAGGCAGAGCCTCCCAGGGCCTGGCCCTCACCTCACCAGGGCTCTTGCCATTCTGTTTCTGCCGTTCTTGCTGGCGCTTACACTGATGGCGATTTCTGGACTCTGTAGGTCTGTCTGGACAACACAGCAACCACAGAGAAGGAACTGGACACTGTGGAAGTGCTAAAAGCGATTCAGAAAGCCAAGGAGGTCAAGTCCAAACTGAACAACCCAGAGAAGAAGGTGGGTCTTTGTGTGGGAGGCGGGAGGAGCAGTGAGGAGCCTGCCGGGAAAGAGCTGGCTCGCGGTAGAACTGGGCCCAGGGAGTGCTCAGGTCCCCCGACTCCTGGCTGCACCCCTCCAAGGCTGCATGACCTTGGACAAGTGATGCCCTGTAGTGTTCTCATCTGCAAGATGGGGGCAGTGATAGTACCTGCCGCATGGTGTTGCTGAGAACTAGGCAAGACTGCCTTCACTATCACTGATGTTTGTGAGAACCACCAGGTTTCTCCCTCCTCACCCCTGGTGATATTCTGTTCTTCCTGATCTTTCTTTTCTCTCCCGCGCTGACTCGAGCACTCTTCTTCAGGTCGGTGAGGATTCTCGTCTCTCAGCTGCCCCCTGTGTCAGACCCAGCGGCTCCCCTCCCACCGTGGCTCCCACGTCTGCCTCCCTGCCCCAGCCCATCCTCTCCAACCAAGGTAATCGTGTATGTATCTTTTCTGCCAAGCAGAGCCACATGGGCCCTGCCTGGGTCCCCTGGATGGAGTCAGGGAGAGATGTTGGCACCTGCTCCTGACAGGGTTCAGACACAGGGAGGGTGTGGTGCTGTCTGGAGGCCAGCTCCTCTTGGGGTGGTACACATTGGGGGTACCTGGCCTGATTACAGCTCTGTCGTTTGCTTAGTGAGGACCCCCAATTTCTCTGACACCCACGTCCAGTTCCTCTAGGATACCCTAGGTGTGTAAACGGGCCCTGAGGCCCCTCTTGAACAGGCTCAGGGCTGCTGCTCATAAGGACCCTGCTCCCCCGTGGGGAATGTGGGTGGATTGGCTCCTCGTTAAGGGGAAGCCAGGCCTTATTAATTTCCTGAGTCGGGTGCCCTGATTCCTGCGTGGGGAGTTTTCTTTTATCATCGCCTCATCTCTGTGGCTCTCGTGGTATGAACCATCCCCAAACACTGTTTGTGGGGCCAAGATGGGCTGTCTGTGGACCCATGGAAGACCAATCCCTTTCACCTGCCCACTGTCTTAGCGTTTTCAAAGGGCTTTCACCTCTGAACCCAGGCATCCTCGGAGATGAGTGAGTGAAGCAGGTCCCATGAGAGTGTCTGCTGGCCCGGCCCCCACGGAAGAGGGGAGGGTGTGCCGTCCCGAGTGGAGTCGAGGCTCGGGACACACAGGAAAGAACGCCGCCCGCCCGCCCGCCCGGGCTCCTGGAGACGCAGAACTTGGTGTGAGGTCTTGGGAAAACAATTTGACCCTATGTTTCAAGAGCCAGAAAAATGTTCCTACCCCTTGACCTGGTGACCCCACTGGTGGGGACTTTATCTTAGTGGGATAAGATAACGGGAAGGAGGAGGTGAACTGCTCACTGCAGCATTATTTATGCTAGCAAAACATGGGACGTGACAAACACCAGCGGATGACACGGGGACTGAGCTGTGGTGCCACAACACTGCAGCCGTCACCGCAGAGAGGGAGACTGGGCAGGAAGAAGGGAGAAATGCTTACGTTAAGTCCAAAAGCCCGCCACAGGGCGGCGCACCCAGGTTTCAGCCGTGAGCTGTGAGTGAAGTTGTGGGAACGGCTGGTGATGGGAGGCGCCAGACTGACTGTCCATTTGCTTCTGTAACACTCTTGACTGAGAAATTTGGGGGTTATTTTCTTACATAAAAGGAGAAGGGGATTTGTATCGCCGTGAAGATGCTCCCCTGACCCTGTCTCCTGGCGCAGGCCCGAGCCCTCTCCAGGCCCTGCACCCGCAGCCCCGTGCTGCCCCGTCATGGCACTGTCGAGCCTGTGGAGGAGCTGCCTCACCTCACTTCTGGGAGACAAAGAGATGCCACTGGTCCTCGAGGCCAGGCCCCAGAGGGTCCTCAGTCAGCGTGTTGAATCACTGAGTGAGTGAGTGTGTGAGTGAACTGACCAGTGGAGAGCAAGCTGGTAAAGAGCAGGAGTGGGCGGGCTGAGCTAGCATCGCCCCAAGGCCACAGCTGCAGGCAGCCCCCACTTCAGTGGTGAAGCCTCCGTACCAGCCAGGCCCAGGCCTCAGCCCCCCTCCCTGCCCCCACTCCTGGGGACACAGCACACGGTGGCTCACCGTAGTCCGTCCGCCCTTTCCTGGCTACTGGACATTTTAGACGTTGTCTCCAGATTTGCACCTCTTATAAATAAAACTGCAGTGGATGTCTGTGTGTGCACATCTCTTTCCTTTTTATGAGAAACAACAAAGGTCGGGCCCCCGTCTAAGCACTCTCCTGGTGTCCCCTGTCCCATCCTCTGAGTGGCTGTTTCTGACCACTTATTTGTTCGGACTACTGTCCAGGAAGGAAGCAGAGAGACTGTCCCTATCCAGATTTCCTTGGCTCCACACAGGGCTGGGGATGTGGGGAGTGGCAAGAAAACTTTGCTTTTTTCTCGCTAATGTGAGAGAATCCACAGATGTTTGTGTTCAGCTGTGTGCTACTGGATCTTACCTGGATGGACAAGGATTTCTTCCGAGTGGGAGCGGCTTTGCTCCCAGCCTGGTTCTGTAGAAGTGAACATATTGTGGATAAACTGGGTGCTCAGGGGCCTGCCTGAAGGGGGCGCTGTCCAGTGAACACCAGGCCACTGTCATCCCAGGAGCTGTTAGCCAGCTTGTTGCAGCTCTGGAGGGTGTGACTGATAGTGGCTGATGTGCAAAATGCCAGGGTTGGTTCTCCAGCCAGGATTGGAGGCTGAGAGGAGGCCAGAGAGAAGTGGCTAGGAGCAGGCACCTGGGGGTCGGTCAGCTGAGTTTGCACTGCAACTTCCCTGGCTGTGTTCCCTCAGGCAACTTGTAGCCTCTCTGAAGCTCTGTTTTCTCGGCTGTAAAGTGGATACTCTCTACTTCATTGATTCTAAGATGCAGACATTCCCAGCTTGTGACTTCTCTGAAATTGAGATGCCTCTTTCAGTCAGTGGCGTCTTATAGTTGCTGTCATCCAGCTGGTATTCGTGATGGAGTCATGTGAAAACCTTCCCTGGACGCCTTCTGCTAAGACCAAGATGGCACCACCGCCCTGCATCTTAGACTCGATGAACTGTGGTAAATGACGAGAGCTGTGCGTGAGCTAATGCGGGCGAAGCGCTTAGCACTGCTCCTGGCTGGTCGGAAGTGGTCCGTGAGGGATTCCTCTTTCCGAGTCCTTGTTGGGGGCTTTCGAGCTGACCAGGACAGTGCCGTTGAGGAACTTGGAGCCTCTTGGGGAGCTGAGTTGTATGCCCAAGGGAGAACAGAGCAGAATGACTTGAGGACGTTTGTAGAAGGGAGAGGTATGTCTAGAGCAGACAGGGCTTTGCAGCAGAGGTTGTGTGTGAGGTGAGTCTCAAAGGATGAGGAGGATCCAAGCATGTGGGGGAGGAGAGAGCAGTGCGCTTCATGCATGGCTGTGTGCTGGCTGCCCTTCCTGCCTGTGCAAAGCCCCTGCTGAGGGCGCGTGTCTGGGCTTGAGCCATCTGCCTGCCTAACCCATGGGTACAGGACCTGGGCTGCATGAGTTGTCGTATCCCCTGGCAGCAGCTGAGCTGGATAAGGGTCTGTGACCTCTGGAGGAACTCTGAGGGCCCTGTGTCATTTCAGTGGGCCTTGGTGACTGGTGGTAAAGCCAGGCTGTGGAGGCAAGCCCTGGGCTCCTCTGGACCTCTGCAAAACTGGGGCTTGATGCCCAGTGTTCACCCACCTAGCCGCCTTCGGAAAAGGCCTTACCCTCCTCCAGTCTAGGAAACCTCTGGAGTGAAGTCATGGGCCCAGATGTGCTGTATTCATAAATCAGCCTGAGCAGGGTTTAAAAACACTGTTTCTGAGCTGCGTGAGTCAGAGTACACTGTCCATAGGAGGTGGCCCAGAAGGGTCAGCGAGGTGTGTCCTTCGGGAAGCAGGCCACAAGTGCCAGGCACGGGTTGTGCTCGCCAGCCCTGGAGAAAAATGGAGCCTGCAAGAAGGCCCAGCCTTCCGGTGAGGCGTCCTGTGCCCTCGTGTGTCTGCGAAGCTCCACAGAGATAACAGGTTGGCGGGGTGGGGCCACATTCAGGCATTTCCCCGGAAAGAGGCTCTAGGAGTGAACATGTTTAAGGCTCTTGATGGACATATTGCCAAACTGCTCTTCCGACGGGCGGGCCAGCTCACGGCCTGGTGCCCACCTCTGCCCAGTCGGGCCAAGTCTGGGCTGTGCAGGCAGTCTGACCTTTGCCAAAGTGAGAGACAAAATATGTCCTTTTCAATTGGCCCTTCTGTGATCACTTGTCGGGGGGAGCATTGTTTCATGTCGTATCCGTCGGTATTCTTTTGTGGAATGTCTGTCCATTCTTTGCTGTCTCCTAATCGGGTTTCCAACTTTCTTCCTCCATTTTTGTTATCTTTAAGAGCCTTTTATAAAGTCTTTGTCAAATATTGCAAGTACTTTTTTCTCATTTCATTTGATTTTGATTTATCTTACGTTTTTTTTTTTTACTTAAAGAAGGTTAGTTTTTATGTAATCAAACCTCAATTTCTTCATTTAGGTTTAGCCTTAGAAATTCTCTCCCTAACCTGAGATTGGATGAGCAGTCATTTGTTCTTTCTTTGAGTTATTTTAAGATTTCAGTTTTAACATTTTCTTGTGTAATCCATGTGACTGGGTTTGGGGGTCTGACTAGGCCCAGCCGTGCCAGTAACCCGAGGGCCCAGCCAGTCTGTTGAAAGGCCGCTCTCCCCGCCCCGCCTGCCCCACCCGCCCACCCCTGGTCTCTCCAGGAATCATGTTCGTGCAGGAGGAGGCCCTGGCCAGCAGCCTCTCATCCACTGACAGTCTGACTCCTGAGGACCGGCCCATTGCCCGGGGATGCTCTGATTCCCTGGAATCCATCCCTGCGGGACAGGTAACCCCCCCCCCTCCTGCTTCTGGGCATGGTTACCTCCATGGGTGACTCTTCCACCACGGCTGGCTGGAAGTAGGAGGTGGCCTGGCTGGAGTTGTGGCGAATGCTGCCAGCGCTTGGTGCTCTCTGCTTTGTGATTAGGGTCAGTGTTCAGCCTCCCTATCTCTCTGTCTCTGTCTGTCTGTCTCTCTCTCTTTGGATGGGAACAGATATTTCTCTCTCAGCCTTTCACTGGGCCCTCAGGGGCAAAGCCAGATGACCCTTAGGCCATGTGAGCAGACTGCCCTGGGGAAAGCAGTTCAGAAGGCTCTTGGGGGCTTGTTTGGGTTCCAAACCCGTCAAGAAGTCGTTCTCCCCTGCTGCCTGGCACCCCCAGGCCATTCTGCCTCTTCCCACGCGTTGCCCTGGTAGTCTGGGATGCACTGTGACTCCAGCACCTCCTCTGTCGCTGGTAAGGGTTCTGGAGCTTCTTCCTGTGCCCTGGGAAGAGAGAGGCGGAAGGCAAGTGTGGTGTGAGTGGCTTATTTGCCGTGTGTGTGGGAAGTGTGCTTGGTAGCTGGCCTCTCTCCAGCACCAACTCTCTGTTCAACAACACCGGGTCGTGTCTGTGTGATTCTGGGACAGTTTGCAGAGTTCTTGCTCTGTCCCAGCACTCCGCAGCACGCTCTCCCTTCACTCTCCCAAGGTCATGCAGTAGGAGGCTCCGAGCCCTGGGTCTTCTCCACTGTCCAAAGACCATTGGGAGGGCCTTACCAGGCACTTGCAGCCTCTGCTCATCGCATCCTCTGCTAGCCAGTTACCAAATTGGTAGATTGTCCATGTGGACCCTCCAGGGTGGCACAAGGAGCACTTGGATGCCAGACCCAGAGGCAGAGACTGAGCTGCAGGGCAGTGAGAGACTGGCTCAGGGATTGGGAGCGTGGGCTGGGGTCAGGCAGACATGCGTGGGAATCTCAGCCCTGCTGTGCACTGGCACGATAAATGGTGAGTCTCTCTGTCTCCGGGCCCCAGAGTCCACCGGAGTGGAGCGTCCCACAGGGCGGCGAGGGAGGGTGGGGAGCCTGGCTCAGGGTGGGGTCCAGTGCCCAGTAGATGCCAGGGAATGGTCGCAGCAGGCGGATGCTGACCGCGTTTCCTTCTCTGTCAGGCACCTTCCGAGGATTTAGGGGATGTGCCGGGAGCTGTTGGCGGTGCAAGGTAAGGAAGAGGCTGAGGAGGCGTTCTGGGCCTTCCACATACACTCAGCCGTGGGCTAGTGATGACCAATTGGATTTTGTTAATAGTCTGTTCACAGAAGTCCTTCAGAACTATTTCTGCCCTTAAACAAATAAACAGATGGGCTGGGCTCTGGGCTCTTTCCAAATTCTAATCCCTAAACGTTGCCTGACACATGTTCTCCGACAAGGCGTTAGCAGATCAAGGCCGGTTTGGTCCACAGCCTGTTTTGTGCTGCCTGTGAGCTCAGAATGATCGTTTTGTTCTTAAAGGGCTGTTAAAAAAGATGATGTGGATGTGGTGGTGCCCAGACCCTGCAGTGTTTACTCTCTGACCCTTTACAGGAGAGGTTTCCCAGCCCTGTTCTACATAAGACTTTTTCGTGAGGGCAGTAGTGGCCAAGAGGAGCTTGAATTTAAATATGAAGGTTCTAAGACCAGCCTAGCCCACTCTCTGGAGGCCACTGGGTGCCCCTGAAGGGGACTGTTGTCAACAAGTGAGCTCATGCCCTTGAGCGCTCACTGCCTGTGGGGCTCATGGCCAGCATCTGAAAGACTGAGCAGTTTTTTTAGGGCTTTTGTTGGGCAGCCTGTGTGGTGTGGGCAGGACTGCACTGGCTGCCTGTGGTCAGAGCCCTAGGAGTGTGGACTCATTAAACTGGGATCCCAGCCTTCCGGCACCTCAGCTCCCCACTGATGCTTGTTCTGGGAGCAGGCTCAGCTATTTAGGAGGCTTGGGAGACCCTCAGTGCAGCAACAGGCTCCAGGTGTGGGAGGTGTGGGTGTCACAGCCCAGCATGTCGCTGACCTGGCCTCTCCCCGCACAGCCCAGAGCAGGCAGAGCCAGAGGTCCAGGTCGTGCCTGGGTCTGGCCAGATCATCTTCCTGCCCTTCACCTGCATTGGCTACACGGCCACCAACCAGGACTTCATCCAGCGCCTCAGCACACTCATCCGTCAGGCCATCGAGCGGCAACTGCCTGCGTGGATTGAGGCTGCCAACCAGCGGGAGGAGGGCCAGGATGAGCAGGGCGAGGATGACGAGGAGGAGGAGGAAGAGGACATTGCTGAGAACCGCTACTTTGAAATGGGGCCCCCAGATGTGGAAGAAGAAGAAGAGGGTGGCCAAGGGGAGGAAGAGGAGGAGGAGGAGGAAGAGGAGGGTGAGGAGGAGCGCCTGGCCCTGGAGTGGGCCCTGGGCGCGGACGAGGACTTCCTGCTGGAGCACATCCGCATCCTCAAGGTGCTCTGGTGCTTCCTGATCCACGTGCAGGGCAGCATCCGTCAGTTCGCCGCCTGCCTCGTGCTCACTGACTTTGGCATCGCCGTCTTCGAGATCCCGCACCAGGAGTCGCGGGGCAGCAGCCAGCACATCCTCTCGTCTCTGCGCTTTGTCTTCTGCTTCCCACACGGCGACCTCACTGAGTTCGGCTTCCTCATGCCGGAGCTGTGTCTGGTGCTCAAGGTGCGGCACAGCGAGAACACGCTCTTCATCATCTCAGACGCCGCCAACCTCCACGAGTTCCACGCTGACCTGCGCTCGTGCTTCGCCCCACAGCACATGGCCATGCTGTGCAGCCCCGTGCTCTACGGCAGCCACACCAGCCTGCAGGAGTTCCTGCGCCAGCTGCTCACCTTCTACAAGGTGGCAGGCAGCTGCCAGGAGCGCAGCCAGGGCTGCTTCCCTGTCTACTTGGTCTACAGTGACAAGCGCATGGTGCAGACGGCCGCCGGGGACTACTCAGGCAACATCGAGTGGGCCAGCTGCACGCTCTGCTCGGCCGTGCGGCGCTCCTGCTGTGCGCCCTCTGAGGCTGTCAAGTCTGCCGCCATCCCGTACTGGCTGCTGCTCACGCCCCAGCACCTCAACGTTATCAAGGCCGACTTCAATCCCATGCCCAACCGTGGCACCCACAACTGTCGCAACCGCAACAGCTTCAAGCTCAGCCGTGTCCCGCTCTCCACTGTGCTCCTGGACCCCACACGCAGCTGCACCCAGCCTCGGGGTGCCTTTGCTGATGGCCACGTACTTGAGCTGCTTGTGGGCTACCGCTTTGTCACCGCCATTTTCGTGCTGCCCCATGAGAAGTTCCACTTCCTGCGCATCTACAACCAGCTGCGGGCCTCGCTGCAGGATCTGAAGACTGTGGTCATCGCCAAGACCCCTGCCACCGGGGGCAGATCCCAGAACCCTCTTGTGGATGGCCAGCCTGCCGAGGGCAGGGCCAGGTGAGACCAAACACAGGTTGAGGGGGCTGGTGTGTGCCCGGGGAGTTCATGGCATTATGACTGAGACCACTCACCCCAAATCAGATCTGTAGCACCTGCACACGTGAGTGGGCCCAGGGTGGGCCTGGCTCCTCAGCTCCTGACTCCCTCAGCATTGCCCTTGGCTCCCTCAGGCTTGGCTCTGGGCTGCTCCCTTTCTCCCAAGGCTTCAGAAGAGGCCCAGGAAAGCTGTCCTTTCACAAAGACAGGCTGGCCCAGTCCCTTGCCACTTAGGGTCCTGCATGGCTGGGACCCTGCGCTCCTGCCACCAATGCAAGACAGGCCCAGGGGCTGACCCCGCCTTGCCTTGCCATCTCTGCTGTGCTCCACTGGGCCCAAGCACAGTCTCTAGGCATCACCCACTGCCCCTTTTCCCCCAGGGGCTCACAGTCCTGTGGTGGCTCTGGACTGGGGGCCTGTTGCTGGCACCACCCGCCTCTGACCCCTAGCTCCAGGCCTTACTCTATTGGTGAGCCCCACCCCCTTCTCATGGAAGAACAGGGTTACTGAGGGGCCTTTTCTTTGCGTGTAATTTTATGAGTGTTTTCCAAAGGAACCTGTTGGCCGAGAGCAGCAGCGTCTGAGTGTATGAGCTGGGTGTTCACCTCATTCCAAACTCCTTTCCTTCTGGGGGGAGAGTGAGGTAGAGAGAAGGAAGAGGTAGCAGCTCTGTCCTGTTCTTCCTTGCTCTCCTCTCTTCCTCACTCTGCTCCTGCCCGCCCCCCGGCTCCCTCCTCGGGTTTCCCTCAGGGCCACGATCACACCCACACTCATCCCCAGAGGGACCTTGTGCCCTTGTGGGTGCTGCTTTCTCCTGTCCCTGCCCCCAGCTTCATATATGCTGGGGCTTCCCACACCTGCACATGGAAGCCCTTCCTTTGTTGGTGCTTCTGTCCCCTGAGAGACAGTCTCGCTCACTTTCTCTTTCGTCCTGGTGGACAGTGGAATCCTGTCCCCACCCCAGCATCTCCTGGGGCCTGCCTTCTCACTCCAACCCAGCTCCCAAAGGGCTTCCAGCCTCTTGCTGGATGAATAAGCACCTCTCATGCCCAGCTCAAGTCCCAAGCCTGCCGCAGAGACCCCTGATGCCTCCAGATGGTGGGGAACAGCTTGTGCCCAAGATGGCGCTGTGTGACCATCTTCCCGTATCCCTGTCCCTGTGCTGAGGCTTCAAGTGATGACACTTTGTCTCCATTTCCTTGCCACCCCCAAGCCTTGCTGGGACCTGCCCACAGCGGGGACTGTGTGCAGAAAGCATGTGCCCTGCTTTACCGTAGCAGACATTCTCTGGCCCAGGACAGGAGGAGGACAGCCCAGAGGCTTCTTGGGGCATTTGGCCCAGTGCAAGATCTGGACTCAAGGGGTTTCTCTCAGCGGCTGGACTGTCCAGTAGACAGGACTCTCCCTCTGCAGGCAGGGGCATGTAGGCTGGTTGCAGGGCCCCTAGCCTCCATGAGCTTTAAGGGTTCTGAGCATTGTTGCATCTTGTGCTTGGAACAGACCAGTGAAACCAGTGTGGCCGTGTACAGTGGTGGCTGGGTGGGGTGAGGGCCTGGGCCACCTCAGGAGGACCAAAAGGCAAACCAAAGGGCAGTTAGAGTTTTTGGCCCTCACCTCTGTGTGTACTCAGGTCCCAGCCCTGGGCACCTAGGTTTGTGCTCTGGCCTCTGGAGTGGCATTTCTTTTCTTTTTTTTTTTTCCTTTGGTGAGGAAGATTAGGTGTGAGCTAACATCTGTGCCTGTCTTCCTCTATTTTGTATGTGGGATGCCTCCACGGCATGGCTGATGAGTGAAGTAGGTCCACGCCTGGGATCTGAACCTGTGAACCAGGGCTGCCAAAGTAGAGCGCATGGAACTTTAACTGCTTGGCCACAGGACCAGCCCCTGGAGTGGCATTTCTGATACTTCTACCACCTTCTCAAAATGAGTTTTCAGTCCATGGGCCATATGTATCTGGCTGTCCCAGCCCTGGTGTGCCAGATGACCTGCCTGCCCCCATCTGCCCATCTCCATCCCAAGAGAAAGGACCTGGGCCCTTTCCCTCTGCTCTTTTATGTTCCCGTAGGGAACTTGATGATGAAATCCCCAGGTGACCCCTGAGGTGGCGTGTGATGCACATGTCCCCCTCACGCTCTGAGGTTGCACGTGTATTGTGAGTCTCCATTTGGGAGATTCACCACATACTAACATGGTGTTTCTTGGGGGCATTGGGAGATGCAGCAATGACCAGCGTCCCCAGGAGGCCCCGGCAGAGGCTCTAGCACCAGGTCCAGCTCCCGTGGAGGCATCAGCCCTGGCCCCAGCCCCAGTGGAAGTCCCAGCTCCAGCCTTGGCAGAGGCCCCAGGCCCAGCAAAGACCCCCGCAGAGGCCCCAGCAGAGGCCTTGGCCCCAGAGGAGACCCCAGCAGAGACTCCAGTGGAGGCCCCGCCCCCAGTAGAGGCCCCAGTACAAGCTGAGCTGCCGGCCCAGTACCCAAGCGAGCACCTGATCCAGTCTGCCTCGGAGGAGAATCAGATCCCTTCACACCTGCCCGCCTGCCCATCACTGCAGCACATTGCCAGCCTGCGGGGGAGCACCATCGTCGAGTTCTTCCACAGCAGCATTGCTGAGGTATTGCCTGGGCACTGGTCTCGCTGGCTGGCACTCGGATGGAGGAGGGTGGCACGGTCAGTCCTGGGGGCTGTGGCAGGGCTCACCTGGGGTCAGCCTCAGGTTCTTGGACTTCACTGTGCTGGCTTTTCCCCCAGCTTCCACTGTCCACAGTGTTGAGGACCTGGGTCAGGAGGTCTTCTGGTTGTCCTCTGTGTTACCACCTCCTACTGTGGCCACTCCTAGCCTCGGGCCCCAGGCAGACCCCACCGCACACCCATCTCCCGCCCCTCACTTCCTCTCTGCCTGAGTTAAGATATGACGAAGGTTCTGGGTCTCCCATCCAAGCTGTGGGTGTGTCACCAGGGCAGCAGGGCTGATGGGTGGGTGCCCTACCCAGAGGTCTGTTTTCAGGCACAGTCTGGAAGAGAAGGTGTGTGCCCTGCCCATACCTGCCCTGCTGCAGGCCCAAACCCAGCCCCTCTGTGTCCAGGTTGAAAACGAGGAACTGAGGCACCTCATGTGGTCCTCAGTGGTGTTCTACCAGACCCCGGGGCTGGAGGTGACTGCCTGCGTGCTGCTCTCCACCAAGGCCGTGTACTTCGTGCTGCACGACGGTCTCCGCCGCTACTTCTCCGAGCCACTGCAGGGTAGGCACTGAGGCCTGCTGGTACCCAGGAGCTCAGAGCATTTGCCCAAGGAGACGGCCTGCGCTCCATCTCTAGAGCCAACTGGGTGGCCTCAGGTAGCAGCGACTCCACTGCATTGGGCCAAGAATCCCCTGTCTGAGGAAGAGCAGTGGTAATGGCACTTGCCTCCCGGAGCTATGGTGAGGGACCTAGGGCCAAGCGTGAAAGCCCAGGAACTGGCTGTGACAAGGAGGGTTGGGCAGCCTCTGCTCTTTGCAACCTCACTGGGAGCCTTAGCCAATGGCCTGTTGTTGGGCTTCTGGTGACCTCTGAGCCAGGCAAGGGTCAGATCCTAGAATGCATTGCTCTAAGGCCTTGTGTGTATAGAGGCAATGGTGGCTCCTCGCAAGGCCTCAACAGGCCAGGCTGGCCAAGGGGACCCATTCCTATTGGCCACAGCTGTGCACCTGGGACCCTCATGCTTGCCTGGCACAGCCACCGCCATGCTCAGTCCCTTTCTCTCCACAGATTTCTGGCATCAGAAAAACACTGACTACAACAACAGTCCCTTCCACATCTCTCAGTGTTTTGTTTTAAAACTCAGCGACCTGCAGGCAGTCAATGTTGGGCTTTTTGACCAGTATTTCCGGCTGACGGGTGAGTGACCACTGCCTTGTTCTATTTTGGGTGAAGGCCAGCGTCACTAGTGGGCTTCCACCTTCCACATGTGGGTGCGTTATCACAGCCAGAGTTATCTCTGCTCGCGAGATGCCTCAGCGGGGCGAGCGGAAGCCGTTTCAGGAACTGCTGAGAGTGCAGAATCACCCCGGGCCTGGGGCGGGCGGCGGGGGCAGCGGCAGCGAAGGGCCAGCCGGGCGGGCAGAGCCGGCCCTGGCCTTATGGGCAGGATGTTTCTGACTCACACTTCCTGAAGAGAGAAAGCCAAGCTCTTTCCCTAATGCCTCTGTATCCCCTTCCAGAAAAATGTCACAGCCCTTCCGGCCAGAGAAATGGCCGTCTTCCCAGGCCCCTGATGCTTTCCCACGTGGGCCTGGCTCTGTGGTCCTCAGGTTCAGGCTGACCTGCTGGAGAGTAGGCATGGCTCCAGGGGCGGGGACGAGGACGGGCTAGTGGCGACCTGCAACCCTGACCAACCTCTTCTCCCTCAGGCTCCTCTCCAGTACAGGTGGTTACCTGCTTGACGCGGGACAGCTATCTGACACACTGCTTCCTCCAGCACCTCATGGCTGTGCTCTCCTCTCTGGAACGCACGCCCTCACCTGAGCCTGTTGACAAAGACTTCTACTCCGAGTTTGGGAACAAGACCACAGGTACCCCCACCCAGCTCAGGCTGCAGACAGGCCACCTGGGCTGACGTTGTGGGCCTCCTCACCAATCCCAAGGGCTGCAGCAGGCCCCAGGGCACCTCTCTGTGTCCCAGAACCCTCTCTGCCTCTGTCTCACTTTTTCTCTTTTCTCGCTTAGCCTCTGGGGGTTTTACGTGGGCTTTTGCATGGCAGAGTCTCCATCCCACCCAAACCCTCAACCATCTGGCAGACGCATCTCAAGTGTCACCTCTGCTCTGGGCTGCTGGCCTGTGGGTCTCCGCGCAGGCACGGGGCCTAGAGTGCTCTCTCTCACCTCTGACAGCAGCTCATGTTGCTGTCTCTGGGTGGCTTGGGGCCTTTGGTGCTCCCAGCCCCACCGCAGGCCATTGCAGGCTCCAGCCCTGGTGGGCGTCTCTCTTTGCAGGGAAGATGGAGAACTATGAGCTGATCCACTCAAGCCGCGTCAAGTTCACCTACCCCAGCGAAGAGGAGATTGGGGACCTGACATTTATCGTGGCCCAGAAGATGGCTGACCCAGAGAAGGCACCGGCCCTCAGCATCCTGCTGTACATACAGGCCTTCCAGGTGGGCACGCCACCACCTGGGCGCTGCAGGGGCATGCTGCGCCCCAAAACGCTCCTGCTCACCAGTGCCGAGATCTTTCTCCTGGACGAGGACTTTGTCCATTACCCACTGCCTGAGTTCGCCAAAGAGCCACCACAGAGGGACCGGTACCGGCTGGACGACGGCCGCCGTGTCCGGGACCTGGACCGCGTGCTCATGGGCTACCAGACCTACCCACAGGCTCTTACCCTTGTTTTTGATGACGTACAGGGCCAGGACCTCATGGGCAATGTCACCCTGGACCACTTTGGGGAGGTGCCAGGTGGCCCGGCCAGAGCTGGCCAGGGCCGTGAGGTCCAGTGGCAGGTGTTTGTCCCCAGTGCCGAGAGCCGCGAGAAGCTCATCTCATTGTTGGCCCGCCAGTGGGAGGCCCTGTGTGGCCGGGAGCTGCCTGTTGAGCTCACCGGCTAGCCCGGGGTGCAGCCAGCCCTCGCCCTCCATGTCCAGCCTGGCATCCACGCAGGGCGGGAGCAGGCTTTCTCTGTTCTTTTTAAAGTAATTTCCCCTCTCTTTTGGTACCTTCATCTGAGTGTCCTCCCAGAGAATGTGAACATACGTGTTCAGTTGATTCTTTCTAATCCTGGGAGTGACAGCACCAGCCCCTCCAGGGCCTCCATGTGCTGTCAGCCTCTCGTGGTATGTTGCCTGCCCTGGTGCGACATGGCCAGGCACACCAGTGTTGTGTCTTTTGTCATGAGACCGTTGTTAACATGTGGCACTGTGGGTCTGATTTACTCTGTTACGCGTCCTTTCCTGAAACGTGGAGTCTAGTCTTGTGGATGTAGCTGTCATTGTGGGCATTTGCTGCTAATCGTGAAGCTGGCAGCAAAATGCACATTAGAAGCTCCCACCCTGTGCAGTTTTCCAAAGTGGGGGCCTCTCCTGGTCCAGACAAATGGGAGAGCACAGTGGGGGCAGGAGGCCCCCAGGCCTTGGGGCTGAGAGGGGTGGGGGCAGGGGACCTAGAGCTGCCAGCACCAAGTGTGATTCCTGTTGCCTATTTTCTCTATTCCAATAAAGCAAAGTTTGACACAGTCTGGGTCTTTTATTTCAAGGGTCACTGGGGTCCCAGTAGGGCACTGGCCCAGGGCATGGTTGGCCTGAGAGAGAGAGGGTGCCCTAGAGATGCAGGAAGTTGAGATGTTCGGAGAAAGGGAGGAGGCAGGAGGGCATGAAAGGCAAAGGGAGCAGCTGTCCCAGGGCCAGATGTTTGTGGGTGACACTGGAGCCTGGGACGGGGAGGTGCGAGGGCACCTTTGGACAGGGCCGTGCTTGGCTGTGGCTAAACCATGAGCCTCAGTACACGAGAAGAGAGTGAAACTCCACAGGGCACCCCTGGCAAGCTGGCCAGCTGGCTCACTGCCCTTCTGCCTCCTACTAGTCTGGACTGTCACACTCAGATCCAGCTCCACCTGAAGCTACAGCCTGTGGTGAGGGTAGGGCCTAGCATCTGGGATCGCTTCTTGTGTGGGGTTTGGTGGGGGGGTGAATCTCACCAAGATGGCCCAAGGAGGAAGGCCTATGGGGAGGTGGCCCCGTTCCCCCTCTGTGTCTGCATTCACCTTCTCAGAGACATGGGTTGCCTCAGGGAGCCCTGCCCAGGTAGGACCTGGAACTTCCTGGGGACTCAGCCCTCATGCCCCACCCTTCCTCACACCATTCCCACCCCCAGAGTAGGGCCCTTGAGCCCCACTCCCTCATCTGTCTCAGCCTCCCTCTCTCATCCAGGCCCAGTCAGGAGCCTCAGCCCAAGGCCACGGGGTCATTGGCAGGATTTGTGGGGAGGTGGGTAGAGTGGCCAACCCGGCTCCCAGGCCTGCTGCTTCTCAGTTTTCCTTCTGCGCCAGCGGAGTGGAATCCTCACCTGGAGGACCTGTCGCCCTCAGGAAGTCTGTGAGGAGAGCCACCAAGGTGGGAGTCTCCCTACTTAACAACCCCCCCCCCCACCGCCACCAGATCTCAAACACCAGCTCCAGGGCCCCTCCAGCTGGTGGGGGGAGGAGCCAGGTGACAAGAGGTCCTCCAATGAGGTCTTTATCAAAGGCCTTTATAAACAGCCACCTGCCTCTCTCCATCTCAGTTACGTCATCTGTAAACAGGCTGATGTTGACCAGAGGCAGGGTCCACATGCCCAGGCCTGGCACACAGAAGCCTCACCACCTGGGTTACTGTTCCAGATCCTGCAGCCCGATGTGTGACAGCCGACCTCAGCTTGGGTCCATGAGGACAGGACCTATGGTGGGGGACTCTGCAGGGAGCAGACCTGGGACTGTGGATCTTAACACTGATGAGCTGAACAACCTTAGGTGAGTTACCCAGCCCCTCGGAGCTTCAGTTTTCCCCCCAGTAATAGGAGGATAATGAAAGTAACTGCCTTCATTCATTCACTCATTCCTCAAATCAGTATTGAGCATCTACTATGTGAACCAGCCAGACACCGTCCCTGCTCCCCTATAGCTGACATTCTGGTGGGGGACAGAAAATGAACTAAATAAACCAGTGTCAGCTGGTGGCTGGTGCTACAAGGAAATGAAGGCTGGTGACCTTTGACCTGAGGCGACCTTGTGGTGAGTCTGTGTGAGAGGATCTCGGGTAACAGCAGCACCACAGGAGCTCGCTTCCCATGGTTAAGGAGTAGAAAGGTCCACATGGCTGGAGCAGTGAGGAGGTGGACAGGCGACAAGGTCAGAGAGGCCCGTGGCCTGGCATGGAGAGGGGTTTGGCGTGTGGTGGGAAGCCTCGGTGCCTGGGCTGCTGAGTGGAGGACGGATCGAGGAGGGAGGGGCACTGGCAGCAGGGAGACCACTGAGGAGGCCCCACTGGTGGAGAAGGGGGGTGCAGGGACTCAGTGCGGGTCAAGTGGTGGAGGCGGACGGGCAGGTGAGAGGAGGAGTGGTCTGATGCGCTGTCCACTTAGCACAGAGCCTGGCAGGGAGCAGGAGGCCCACCTATACCCTCAGCAGTGGGAGAGGTGAGGCAGACAGACCTGATTCAGGGGCTGCCCTACCCGCAACCGCCAGAGCCTCCCAGAGCCTCTGAATGGAATATGCTGGGCTTGCAGACCCTCGGGAGGAGAGTTTTCATTGGAATTATCTCCGATAGACCCCAGGCTTGTAGCTAATGGTGGGCTTGGAGGCTGTGATGCCAGGAGAAGGGTCCCAGGTCAGGAAGCCCCGAGCAGAGCCCAGGCCATCCATGCTGGGGTCAGTGGCCAGCACCTTCCCTTCCGCCTGCAGGCTGCTGATACGCAGGAGGAAATCCTGGCGGGTTCCTGTGGGGGTGAGCTGGCGGGGCCTCCGGACTGCTTTTAAAGCGACTGCCTGCCCCATCCCGCCTACTCGCCCTGTGCCTGCCTTCTAGAGCTCATTCCCCACGCCGGCTGCCCCGACTCTGTCCTGGACAGCACGCGCGCCAGCCACCATCGGCCATGGCAGGGCCCCGGGGCCTCCTGCTCAGCCTCCTGGCCTTCTGCCTAGCAGGCTCCGGCTTTGTCATGGGGCAGAAGGTGAGTGTGAGCCATTTGCAGAGGGGCATGGTATCCAGGCCCAGCCGTCCAGTGGTGGGAGCAGGGAGGGAGTGTACACAGATTGGGCATGAATCTGCTTGGGGACACATGGGGCAGCTGGTACTTGTCTGACCTTCACGGGGCAGGACCAGAGGGCCAGGCTGTTACGCCCACCTCTGCAGGCTGAGGTCCGTGTCTGGTAGTTTGGGGTAGCAGGCGTGTATCAGCCTGCTCTCCTCTAACTGCGCCCAGCCGGCCAGCCGTGTGGTGTGGGCAGCCATCCCAGGGCTCCCCAGCCTTGGGGTGAGGGGTACAGAGCCAGGCCCATCCTCCTGCCCTTCCTGCCCAGACTGAGGCGGGGTCTCTGTGTGGCCCTGACATGAGGATTGGAGATGTGTTCACCCCCAACCCTCATGGGGCTGGCAGACTGACTCACGTGGAACATGTGTGTGTGTGCTGGGTGTGTGTGCACGGGTGTGTGCCTGTGTCCAGCCCTGAAAGTACTCAGAAGCAAAATGACGTCTACTTACCTCCAGCTCCTCTGGGTCAACAGCAGCCAGCAATAACACCCTCAAGCCTAAGAGCGCAGCCCTGGGCACACCAGGCCTTCTCCCCTCAAGTCCTCACAGCCCCTGGGGCACTGATCTAGGGCAGCGTTCCTGTTCTCCGCCTGAGAAAGCCAAGGCCCCAGGATGATGGAGACGGGTCAGGACAACTCTGGAGCTGTGCTCCAGACACTCTGATTCCCTATCCAGCCTTTTGGGAGGAGCAGACAGGGTCCTGGTGTGTGACTCTCAGGTCCATGTGTGCTAGCCACCTCCAGTCTGTCTGTCTGTAGTTCCACCCAGGTCCCATAGGAGGGACATTGTCCCTGTTGGAGTTTCTAGAAGAGCCTCCCACCCTGAGTATGGAGATAGAGTCCCCTGGCTGGGGCCTGCCTCCGGTGAGGGACCCTCCCCTGTGAGGCTAAGTTCATCTGATTCTTGAGGCAACTGCTGTTGCCTCATCTCACTAACAGGCAAACTGCACTCCAGAGAGAGAAAGGGCTCGCCCAGGATCCCGCTGCCAGGCAGAACCAGCACAGGGAGCTAGGCCCCTGCCACCACCAGGCTCTTTCTCTTGTATCCATATGGTCCCTCAGAGATGGGGCAGGGAGAGGGGCCTCACCAGCTTCAGGGCCAGGTCAGGGCTGGGGACAGGCAGATCTGAGGCTAAAAGGTGACAGTGATGGTGGAAAAGCCAAGGGTCCCAAGCTGAGCCCTGCAGGTAGGTTCCTCTCCCTCTCTGCCTCAGTTTCCCCATCTGTACAATGAAGGGAATTTCAAAGACCTTGCCACCTCCTTATGTTCTGGGAACAGGTGTCAACAAAGGGCCTGAGGCCGGGAATTTTTCCCGTCAGAGACCTATGGCTCTGACCACCTCTAAGCCTACATTCTGGGCTGGTCTCAGACAGCCTGGGCCAGGGAAGAGGGTCCCAACGGCTCTTGTGGATAGGGACGCGGCAGTGCTGGCCGCTTCTCACACATGCTCAATCACTCAGCCCTCCCGGGTCCCCAGGTAGCATGAGACCCTCCGTAAATAGTAGGAAACTGAGGCTCTGTGGGGAAGGGATGACCTCTGGCTCACACAGCCAGTGAGGGGCAGGAACAGGACTCAGACACAGGTAGGCGCAGGCAGAAGAGTAGGGAAAGCTTCCTGGAGGAGGGGGTCTTAGCACCTGTCCATTCAACAGCCTTTTACCAAGCACTGCCTCTGCATACGGCGTGTGCTGGTGCTGGTAGAGCCTGTGGTCTCCAGCTGGAGTTTGAAAGCAGAGGAGCATTGATCTGGGGCAGGGGAAAGCAGTTTGAGGGGCCCTTCTTCTCTGGGGGAGTTTGGGTTCTGGGTCCCGGGCCCCAGCTTGTGGGAATTTTTTCCACCTTCTCACAACAAGCTTGACACTTCGCGTCTGCCCAACTTCCCCAGAGCGCCTCTGTGGGAAGCAGACGTTGCAAAATCAGTTCTGGATTGGGACAGGGAGGGGGACAGCACCCGCGTGGCTCCGGCGAGTCCCGAGGTGCCCCCAGGAAGAAAGGAATCTGATTCAGCACTTGGCCATGATCCGGCCTCACCCCGCCCAGCGGGACCAACAGCAAGACTGAGGGCTGGGGCTGCTGATGCTCCTTCCAGGCTGCCAGGTGGAGGGGACCTGAGTGCCTACCTCTAGTGTGGTCCCTGGAGAGAAGTGTGAGTTGACAGCTGGCTTATCCATCCATCACCATTTCACACACATTTACATGCTCAACATCCTGTGCATGATCATCCACCAAAGGACCCAAGGCTCCGGCTTCCTCCCGTGCCCGTAACTTACCCGCCACTTCATCGAACCCTGCTCGGCCCAAGCTTGAGGCCAGTGCTCTTTCATTCCCCCTGAGCCCGTATTTAGGGCTGACCAACATTCATCTGAGAGCTGGTCCCTGGGCCAGTGGTGGCTGGGCTGGCAGCTGTGCCACAGGGGATCCAGCCGCCTGCCAAGCCTTTGCCCTGAGCC